CAGTGTGATTCACTGCTGGCTCGCTCTGTCGACAGACAGACATTTATTGAATGAATGGATAAATAAATCATAGATGGACAAATAACCTGACCTGGTATAAAAGCAGTTTCCTAAATATGCTCAGAACTATAGTATATACAACAAAACCCAGGATGCAGCAGTGCAGATCAGAGTAGGCTTTCTCCTTAATGGCTTAGGTTGCTAGAGGCTAGCATGGGAAGAGAGCAGATTTCCTGCTACTTCTGTAGCTTCCCTATGTGCACTCCTTTACTTACTCCTGTGCAGAGTGAATGATTGTCATTCCTTTCCCTTAGAAATGTAAAGTGCTATACTTGAGACTGCTGGTATGGCAGCAGCAAATTCTACCCTCCACTCTGGATAGTGGGTGGTCTCGCCTTCACCAACAGGAATCTCAAAGAGGGCACTACAAAAGCCCTCCTTTAAAATCCATGTCTCATGATGGGTATTTTGCTAGCATTATAGAGGTGCCTCTAGCACATGCAGAGTACACATCTTTCCCCAGTCATCAACTGCTGTCTATTGCTGCAGGGTATTTGTTTTCTTAGGAGTGAAATCAATATAAACTACAGATTTTCATCTTTTGCCTTGCAATCCCAGGTCAAGCTAAGAAGCAGTGTAGAAATTTTTGAATAAAGAAAACACTCTATACTTGGTTGTGCCCACTCACATGCACCATGGCAGGCTTGCTATAGGGATCATGACTGGCTTCTTGGACAGGACTTTGTGCCATTAAGAAAAATCCATAGAGCATTTCATGAACAATTATAGTCCCTGTGATGAGAACACCAGTTCCTTTTCAAATGATTTTTGATGTGGAAACACAAGAGAAGGATGTTTTCAGTTCTGCCAGTATATGGGGTTTTTGGTCGAGTTTTGCAGTCACTCTCTATGACGCCTTTCAGGACAGAAAGGCATTGTGATTCATTTTCAAACAGATGGTGGTATACTTAATCACAGGGTATATTTTCAGGCTATATTTAATTCAATGGCCTGTACTAGCTCACCTTCTTTCTCGTATTTATGACATCTTGTGTTACATTGTGGAAAATGTATTAGCATGACTACTAGCTCATAGAAGATAAATGCCATTGCCTGCTGAGTGCACAGTGCCACAAATTACTATATAGAATCATGCGTTCCATTGCAGGGTCACAGGTATTCGTGGATATTAGTCATGGTTATGCAGCATTGACATCTGCAGGGAAATACATATTCTGTTTTTGTTTAGCTGCTGAGTAGAATCTCATCTTGAAATCAGCACCTATATGACAAAGAAGCACCCCTAACACATGACCACTCAGGGTCTCCTTAAAACTCCTCCAGCAAAAGATCCTCAGCCACCAAACAAAATTAAAAGAAATATAAACAATGCTCTTTAACTAGAGTTCTTTCATCTTCAGGCTAACAGGCTGCTTGCCTACATCCATTATTATGCACTTTCATATCATTCACAGGATTAAAAAATCCAGGGCTTGGCTGCACAAAGGAAGTTGTGGAGTAATCCTAGACAATGAAAGGTATTCTTGATCAGGTAGCCTATGCTAGCAGCACAATTCTGAGAAACATGGGAAGATGTGGAACAACTTCATTGAATTTTTTTATAATCAAGCAGGCTAGGTGGTGAACATGGATGTTGGCAGTGCTGTGGTCTGGTTTCCAGAGTGGAACTGAGTGAGAATTCATGAGGCTTATGTTTTAACTTTCAACAAAATCCTTCTTTATTAATTCCATTTATTCTTATTCACCTTTGTCAGTCCGTTAGTTTCCTACATTATGGGTGAGAGTCATGGACAAATGCCCTGTCTCAGGGAAATGTAATACCAGGATCACAAAACCTTAATAAAAAAGAAAAGGAGAGAGAGACACCAACTTCCAGAGTGGTCTGCAAGATCAATTTAGTTGCCTGCTTGCTACAGTTTCAAAGTTTTTTCTTTTACTTTTAAAAAGAGGCTTTAAGATGGCTTCAGCATATGAAGAAGGCTCACAGTAATATTAATTATGTACTGGTACCTATATTGCGGGGGGGGGGGAGCGGCGGATATAGCACATAATTTCTTGCTGTAGATGCTTGTGAGCAACAGTCAGGGTAAGAGTGGGGGGTGAGAGGCACAGAGGAAAAAATGGAAATTCTTACTGTGAATTTCTATCCCCAGGGTTCCTGGAGGGCAGTCTTGCTAGGGGCTGTCTCCTCCTCTTTTGCAGGCAGGTAGGATCCAGTTTGAATCCTTCTGGGGGAGGGGCCATCCCACCCTCTCCAGTCTGGCCCTACCTTGTGTACAGAAGGGTCAGGGTCTTTTGAGCTCCGGAGAACTCAGTGCAAAATCCTCCACCCCCCCCTTTTAATTTTCCTTTTATACAATTTCTTCAATTACTGACAGCAGTTGGGGTACTGCTGTGGCGGCAGCGGCAGCGGCAGCAGCAGCAACAACAACAACAACAGGGAGCTCCAGGCAACTAAATTCAGCCCCCAGGAAGGAGGGGATCTCTGGGCAGCATCCTCAACCCCTAGCATGACCTCAGCCACCGGCAAGCCCCCTTGCAAAAGCAGCAGGTCCTTGCTAGCTTGCCTGATGGAAGTGAAGCCACCTGGTGCAGCTTTGTAGCGCATCTGAAGAAAAGTGCATCGCAGATAGACTCACAGACATTTTGGATGCATCTTTGAGGAACGAATAAGGAAAATCCACTCCCTGACGCAGATGATACGGGAAGCCAAGGTTGCAGATATCATGGAATTGGCAAAATTGCAGGTGCTCATGGTTTCCTGCAAAGGTCTGGTGGATTGGACAGAACTCCACATATGACCCGTTACAGACGCTACTGCTGTTTCAAGAAATGATTGTGACATCCAGACACCGAAGCATTCCTATGGGCTGCCATAGGTGAAAAACAGGGGAAGGGAATGTTGCCAAGACCTTTGGCTGCTTCATCTGTTTGAATGTGTTTGTTTTTACCTAGATATTTGGCTAAATTATAAATATTGATTGTTGTTATTGTAGTTTTGCATGTTATAACAGAAATTGTTACATTATTGCTAATTAGGTCTGTTTATATGACTTTGTCATTTTTGTATATTTTTGTTTTTTCTGTTTATTGCTCCTTCCTCTCCCTGGGATTGACAATATTCAACAAAGAGCTGGCTATAATCATGCAACTTCAACTCTGTATATAAGAGTTGTCACCTTAAGCTTCAAACTGTTGAGTCTAGGATACGGATGGGGAACATTTTTCAGCTGAAGGGCCATATTCCTCAAGGGGAAACCTTATGGGGGCCACATGGTAATATTAGGGAGGGGAAGAGGCAAAAGTGGCTGAAGCTGTGACACTTACCCTTTGTACAGTCAGCTACGTTTCAGCCACACTAATGTCTGAGGCTTCTTCTCTCTCACTTCCTGCTCTCCACGCTCTATTCAGGAACGAAAGAAACTTGGCATTACCAAGTTCAAGAACTCATTCCAACCAACCAAAACACTTGAAGGGGGCCAGGGTTGGGTGCAGCCTAGGAAAAGTACTTAGTAGGCCTGGAGGGTTAGACAGTAGAACAGAAGCTCCGCACCCTTGGTGCAGGACGTATTTCCTTAAATGCCCACCCTATTCCAAAGGCGTAATCATTATCCAAAGGATGAATAAATATTTTAAAGGAATTCTGCCAAAAGCTAGGACTAAATCTAGCAGATGACACCATTCCAGCTCACTGTCTACAACAGTGCCATGCCTACATGTAACTGTATATATGTAAAGAATCTGGCACAGTTAGACTTTTAGCAGTTCTGGATAATCCTGTGTTTCATATAAATTTTAAAGTGCAAAGTATCAGTTGCTGTAAATGGAAAATATAGTTGGACATAACTCCTGCTGGATTGTAGCCAGGTTATCAAGGTTAACTCTATTCAAGCTGCTGAAAAGTCCCCTCGTTGCTGAAAAGCCGTGTTGGAGATGCTTGCTGCCCCGCACCGTGTTGAGGTAAACACTGACGTGGCCTTTTGGCCTTGGACACTTGGGTTTTCAAATGGCCGTGTGGGCCGGATTCGCAACATTTTCAGGCCGCATCCGGCCCCCGGGCCGTAGTTTGCCAACCCCTGCTCTATTTGGACTCATGCAGTGTTCTTCCCATTCCAGCTTCCTAACCCTGCCTTTTTGGGAAACAACCATTTCTCTTCTCCATCCTCCCCTGCTTCCTTCAGAAAGGAAGGTGTGGCACCAAGCAGTATTTGTGACAGATGCTAGTTTAGCAGCTTTGAGAGAGATTAAAGGATTTCTTTCAAAAGGCTGCCTGTAATTAACAGCCACTCAGGATGCACTGCTGCTGCCAACTCTCCTGAAGGAACAGGATGCAGAAAGGCAAAGTACCAAGACAGGCCAGGTTCAAATGGAGAGGTGGTAAAGTACAAATTGAACCGAATTTCCCCTCCGTTACCAGCAGGGTGGGGAAGAGGGCATTTCCGCCTCCATCAATCAGTCCTTTTTAGCGGCGGATACTGCAAGTTCTAATCCTGTATCTAGTAGGGGTGGGGAACCATTTTCAACCCAAAGGCTACATTGCCTTCTGGGCAACCTTTTGAGAATCAAATGCCAGAGATGTGCAAAAGTGTGTGAGGCAACAAATATAATTTTTACCTTTGCACAGAAGGCTAGTTTCTGTACACTCACACACCTCAATACATCTATGAGCAAAACTTGCAGACAAAGCCCAATGAGATGCAGTTCTCTGTTTCAAATGCGAGGTGAAAGAAAGGCATTTGCTATTGAAGTGAATGAGGTACTTGGATGCACAAGAGCTGTGTGCATTGCACTTCATACCAAAGGCACTGAACTGAGACATGAAGATGTATATGATGCACCCCTCCCCCAGCCCTGCAATGAACCATCAGAGTGAAACAAAGTGATTCAGCCCATTCCAGGGCAGAGGAAACTTTCATTTGGTCATTCGTATTTTTGTAAGTTAGAAGGGATCAAACATACATACAACAAAGGCAAGAAGCTTTGGAATGTAACAATTTATTGGGGTTCATCTTTTTAACTCCCCATTTCTGGCATTGATACAATACTCAAGAGCAGCAGAAAGAACAAAATGTACAAGCACACAAGAGTAATTAGCACAACCCCCCGCAAAACCTGGAGCAAGCCACTTTTCTGATGGAAATGCCAATGGGGGGTGGTGATTCAATCACCCACCCCACTATGCTTCCCATCCATCCACTCTAGACAGTTTAGCCAGCTGAGAACTGGATTTTTAAAAGCAATCAAGCAAATGCAAACACTATATTTAAAAATGAATAAGACAAAAATAATAGATAACACTTCATTCATGCACAATTGTTTCATTAAATGCATTTTTTGCCAAAATTAAAAAGTTACCAGATATATATTTAGTTATTGGTTTTTAAAGCCTATTTCATACGCCAAGAGGCAAGAACACAGCAACTTCAGCTCACCCTTTGACAAAACTTAGCATAAGGCCTCAACTTTGCAAAAGCCAAATGCGCAGACTTACACTAACCCTCTCGATTGACTGCAGTTTTTTAAGGTTCGAAGCAAGTGCCACCATCGCCTTAGAAAGCCCTTACGTATTAACAAGGTTCTGGCAAGGTTGAGGCCTGGCACTGGCAAGTGCAAGGGTGAGCGTGAAAGAGGAGCAAACACCAATTCTGAACCTCCTGGAACAAGAGGCTTTTCTTCAAGAGAACTCACAAAGAGAAATGTGGCAGATGAATTGGTCTGAGTATAAAATGTGGGGAGGGGGAATAAGCACCAGGAACATCACTAAAGCCATGGTTAGATATATTTACTTTAGGCTGGTGGTAGCAGCCACCATGAAACAAACTGCATCCTTAGAAGTCCCAACTTTCTGCCAGTCACTTGCCCCCTGTGGCATTCATCTTGGAAAATATCCACCACCTAACTTGCTGCCTAGCTTTTGCATCTGCACAGGTGTCCCACATTCTTTGCATGTCATGCCCTATGAGCAACAGTATTCTCCAGATTAAAACCATAAATTATTCCCAGGTTAAGGGGACATCTTTCTACTACTGATAATGGCCTATGAATACCACAGGGCAATCTTCCACTAATTACATGGGACACTTACAGCAGTCTCTGGAGAATAGTTGAGTTGCTACATTATTTTCTTGCTCCACTGAAAAGCTTGACTGTAAAGAACTAGGAGTTGCTTCCCACATTACTATACATGCAACATTGGAAAGATCCTCCATGTCATTCCAGCACCAAAAAAGTAACATACATGTGTTGACTGCATAAGGACTGATACTGAAAGACTCAGGAGTCTCAGCAATACCTCTGTCAGTCTCTGAGTAATAAATATTCCCCACTATGCTATTTAATGACATAGGACAATTCCTACAAGTCATTCTTGTGTCTGGAAAAAACCCAGTATGGAATGGCTGGTTCTGTGAGAGACTAGAATAAATGCTAAACATGGTGATCAGGGAAAGAACAATGGAAGAGGATACCCCATTTAAAATAGCAAAGTACTTCACATTAGAAGCCACAGTATGAGAGTGCTGAACTTTTAAAGCATGTGCTTGCAATATTTTTTAAGTGCTATACAAAATAGGAATGGGTTTTCAGCATATTGGAATTGGGACTTAAATGAATCCAATCAAATGTTAAGCTGCAAAACATACTCATCTGCAAATTATCGTTTTACTGCCCAATGTAAAGAAGAAAGTTTTTTCCCCAGATCACTTGCATGCCTTTATTTCCTTCAGTGAAAGCTTCAGACTAACAAGGAATCATCAGCATCCAAGTACAGCTTGGGAATGCTTCTTCCTTGTCAACAGCTACAATGTTGAGAGCCTTACACAGCATCATCCTGTGCTACACAGAAGGAAGAAATATAGCCACAGAAAGGCATACATTTTAATCCCCACTTATTCAGTACTGGCAATGACCAATTAAGTGACCGAAATAATCCCCAGATGTTAGCAAACCAGAGGGACCAACTTGATCCCTGCAGAATCTTTGTATATTGTAGCTGCAGACTGGCAAGTGATCAGCAACCCAAAGAATAAACAATCAAGCATAGTGCAGCCTTCAGGCACCCAATAAAGGTTACCAGTAGAGACAGCAATAGGTGGTATATGAACCTTTGGCCTAACCCTATCAAGTTCTTATGTATTGAAGCAGCTCTGAGACCACACAGCTTTCATCAAGATGTTACTTTTACTTGACATAGCATCAGTAATGGGTCCCTCATGGGAAAGTGGACAGGCTCCACATACCAGCAATGGACTAGACAGCTCACTTGAATTCTCTGCTGCAAGTAGAGATAGGGCTCCCCTTTCTTATTGCAGCACAGAAACATAAATTGAGGAAGAGTATAGCCCCTTTCTCCACGGGCAGCCCATTTTACTGCTAAGCTGTGAAGTGAGGAAAGGGCTCCTTTTCTCACCATGCAGCACAGGAAATACAGCAAGCTCCCTCTTCCTCACTGCTGATATGTAATCTGAATAGCTGAACAGCATGTGTGGGGATCTCCCCCACCACACAGCTCAGCTGATTGGAGATTACCACTCAACAGTGGGGAGAAGGGGGCCTGGAGAGAGCGAGTGGGGTTTGGATGCCAAGGCTTGGTGGACCAAATATTTCGCATCTCCAGATTAAGTCTTAATGAAGGCTGAGTGTATTCTGTAGTTCAAGAGATTATGCCTCTCCAACAAGATAATCTAAACTTTGCACTCACCCAAGGTTGCTACATGCCTAAGTCATGCAAGGTTAAGCACATCTGCATAGATTTGCTTACTTTGCACCATTTACTCTGCTGCTGCTAGTCATTGGGAGGCACAAGCAGAACTATGCTGGGCTGTGAACCCATCCTCAGGCCCCGCTCTGGCTTCTTCACCATGCATTGCTCGCACATTTTCAAACTTATATTTGCAGCCATAAAAGTTAGCTTTTTTTTTTAAAGGATAAAGAATGCAGTTTCTTATGAAGCTGAATTTCAAATCCCATACAAGATGCTGAATTCCAGAGCCGAAGCTAAATTCTACACTTGAACAATCTACACACAGCCTTGGTCCTATGATCTGTGGCAATGGCACATCCAAATGCACAGATGCATTTCTGTGTCACACCAGCTTCCTGTTTCAAGGAAAATCTTTTGGCTGAGACTGGAGTAAAAGAGAAATGAAATTGATGGCGCAATTAATCGTTCTGGAAAACATGGAACTGGCACAAAGGGCATAACAATGACATGGGGGAAGCTCTTAACTCAGTGTTAAACCACATATTATGAAAACAATAAGGGGCCACGTTGAATCTCTAATGCCCCTCATTAAAAGGGGCTGGGGGAAAAATCTCTGTCTGAAATGTTTAAGATATTGGAGTGCCACTGCCCATCAACCAACATTGGGTTGGTTGGATCAATAAGAACTAAATGGGACAAAGGTGGCTTCAGATGTTGTTCGTATGCCATACATTAGTAACCCTGACACTTCAATCTCAATTAGACCCAGTAGACCTCTCAAGTAGGGCAGGAGAGACTGCGAGGCAATCAGGGTGTTGCTGTTGCATTAACTGAGAAAGGAAGCCATACATGGAAGAAGAATATTCCAACACCAGGCTCCTCTTTTGTGGCTGTGCAAAACCTGACTTGGGTGAAAGCTAAACATTTTATGGGGAAAATACTAAATACAATTAGGGCTGTTCATAAGTGCTGGGAGCAGCTTTCATAAGAACAGCCTCCTTCAGTACATACTTTGGAAGCCAAGTGGCTTGCAGATCACAGCATTCAGACATTCCTAGTTCTCAGCCTTATGGTCATGCTACTGGCCCATGCTGGCTTTGCATAACACAAAGCACTGTGGTGGGTTAAGTGGAGGATTTTACTTACACACACACACACACACACACACACACACACTTCAGTAATAAGAAAATAAGATCCCAGCTCTTGCACCACTAGTGGACAGTCAAAAAAGCAGCAAAGCAAGCAACACTGGAGCACAGGATGCACCAGGCAAAACAGTGCAAAGCCTCAAGGGAAGAGGCAAGGGGGGAGGGGGAATAGCAACATGATGGTTCATAACAGAAGGACACTGAGCACTAAGTGTGAAATCCATTCCAGGCCTATTACATTTCCTTACCAAAGGCCCACTTGGAATCTTATACCTCCTGAGACCAAGGGCCTCTCCTAATTATCTGGCATGGGGGGGGGAATGCCTTTTCCTGATTTTCTCCTCCATCTCAGTTACCCAAAATGTTGTTCACTCACACAACTGCAGCTTCCATGGATGGTGGACAAGAAATAATGTTGCAAAGCAACTAAACCTCCCCTAAGCACAAGAGGGGGGGAACATGGGAGCTTATTAACCAGGAAGACTCAGCTCAGATAGCACCCATTTTATAATGGAGGTAGGATTGCAGGTAGTTCTCCGTGGCCAAAATGGGTACTAAGTTATTGAGCAAAGAGGGGAATTCTCCTGAGACGGGAGACACTGTATTTCAGCAGCTCACCAGGAATCATAGGCCCAGAGTATTGTTCTCAGAATTTCCCTATCACTGCCCGTTGCATGCACCCATAGCCTATTGATAACCAATTATTACATATAGGTTAGCACATACAGAGACATGGGACTCAAGTCCCCCTGAGGAAGGATATCACAGTTCAACTGGTTGGTAACAGATGAGAAAAAGAGATAATAGTGAACAGATAAAAAATGAGTTCTCTGCACAATACAGAAAACTGGACAACCTAGCAGGAAAGATTTAGCTTTCTGGGAGATCTAATACTTTTTCCTAAACAGATTCCAAACTTCCATTTCAACTATGCTTTGCTGTTAACTACAAGAAGTGAACAATTAAGAGCACAGAAGCAAAGGTGTAATTTTGCAAGCAACAGATAAACATGAAAGCTACTTCCACAAAGAAATATACTGCTCAAATAGGACAGTCTTCCTCCCAACAAAAACTGTCAAACTTCATCCTTCTTGTCTTAGGGTGTATCCTATAAACACCAGGAGACTGTTCCTCTGCTGTCTGAAAATTGATACTGAAGTGGACGACGGGTGGTCTCTTCTACAGATTTTGCATTGGCACTCATGGAAAAAAAGCCAATCTGGACACTTTGGAACAGGAGGGAAAGTACCAGCCCATTCTCCACCAGTCAGTGCCACATAAATTCTGGGGACAATCTTCACATCCAGCCAACACTCCCTCTTTTAACAGAATCTCCCCTTCCATGATGTCTCTTTTGCTAAAATCTTGATCACATACTTGCTCCTTTCACCTTGCTTTCCCTCAGGGCTCAGAATGAAAGCAATCACTGCAACTCAAGCTGCCATCATTAGTTTGGTGTTTGCTATCCTCACGAAGGTCCTAATCACTTTTTCCTCACATATCAAGGCTGTTACCCACTTGAGAACATCTTGGTAAAATGTACCTGGAAGATGTAAAGTGAATTAGATTAGTTAGAAGGAATTCTTTGTTATGAAACCCAGTATACATTGAGGTTGACCTATTACGAGGAAGGTTTTGCCAGCTTCTAATAGTTTGTTTGGTTCACAGCTAAAACACATATTTCCTGCTTGCCTGGTATCTTAGATACTTTTACTTACTGAACAACCACAAAGCAGCAACATGTCCCACTTCATCAAATAGCTCTCACCTCAGTAGGTCATATTGATGCCTAAACTGTTCATCTGCAAGTGGATAACATGCCACATAGCCCTTCTGACAAAGCTTTGCCAGAACCAGGCTGAACTCTGGATCAATCATATCCAGAAAGGAAGGAAAGATGGGAGGCATTCTTCCTCCCTTCGCCCCAAGTAAAATAAAGTAGAGGGAAGAGAAAATAGGTTTTTATGGACTTGCTTTCTCAACTCAGACACTGTTACTTTTTGCTCTTCCCTTGCCCAATTTGAATGGCCTGAACACCACCCTCCCTACCACACACAAATACTAAAAATACTCTTTTCTTTAAGGACCAGCTAAAATCACTACAGTTTGTGCAATCACTGCATTTAATATTTTTAAATTCTCTATCCTTCTGTCTGTAAAAATCTCATTACCTTTAAAAAAACCTTTTTTCTTTTCTTTTTTTGCAAAACTAGTTTCTTTCTCCCTCCCCTCCCCCCATTCAAACTCTCCTCTCTAAGAACAAGAAGTACAACAAACATGGCACAGACGCAAAAGAATACAGGATGTATCTTATCCTCTATTATTACATTAAAATTCACAATGATTCAAGGCAAAAAGACAGCCCAAATCATGAAGCAGTTAACAGTAGCCCTCTGTCACCATCTGGTGGCTAGAATGTGTCAGGTACAAGGTTTGCCACTTAACCGGAAAGATGAACACAATCTGCTTTTGGAGGTTGTGTGCCAAATACTGTAAAAGGGAAAATTTCAAGGCAAAACCAAGCAACCCTACATTCCAGCATTACATGCATCTGACCCTCCCCCTTCAAGAGTGATGGTTCTTTCTAGAGATGGAGGGGGAATGTTCAAGCAAATGAGCTACCAGGTTGGTAAAATCTTAGCAGCATAGAACTCCCTAGGGATGTTGGTTAGGAGCTGTGGTTGCTAATGCCAAAGAAGTGGTCAAAATGCTAGCCAAAACAGAAGGCTTATCTTTGCATCAGAGCGACTCCTGGTACTGCACAAGTGGAGTGACTCTTGCATCTGTGGGCTACTTACCGCAATCCATATCCCTAGCCTCTGATCCCAACAAGAGTATCATACTGCATGGAGATGGAGAAGATACCACTGATGCAGTCAACTAAACCCTGCTCCATCCAATTGGTTTCACAATCACCTATCTGCCAAGGCTTTGCTTGTCACCTGCCTCCTCAAGGGAATGGCCTTTGAAGTACTTTCAGTGATGTAGTTTTAGAGCATCAGTAGTAACTCAACCAGCTCAACTCAACTATGAGACAGACAGGGACTGCTAATCCCTTTGATGGCCACCATCTTGGAAAGAGGATTAGACAAATCTATGGAGGATAAGGCTATCAGTGGTGACTATCCATGATGACTGTGTTCTCCCTCCACTGTCAGAGGCGGTATGCCTCTGAATGGCAATTGCTGGGAATCACAAGCGGGAGGAGAGCTGCTGTGCTCTGGTGCTGCTTTCACACTTCTCAAAGGCATCAACTGGACTGATCCAACAGGCTCCTATGTTCTTAATCCCAGTCCAATAGCTGCTGTTCTAAGTAGACTAGAAGAATCAGCATGGTACCACCTCATCAGCCATCACTGCACCAAAATTATGGTGCTGGATGCATCCCGTGTGTTGGCACCATGGCACAAGAGTAGCTGGTATCTGTATTCAGGAAACAGAAGCTTGTGACCTGAGTGCCAGGCGGCATCCCACTTTCATACTAAAGCTACTTCACATGTTATCAGAAAGATTAATTCCCATTTGTTTATCAAGTGCCACGCTAACTAATCTGTGGAGAAAGTAGACTACTGAAGACACACTTTCAACACAGCCCCAGGAACCAATACGGTGCAGAGGTTTGCATGTTGCAGTGGATCTGGGAGACCAGGGTTCAAATTACCACTCAATCATGAAGCTCACTAGGTGAGCTTGGACCAGTCGCTATCTCTCAGTCTAACCTACTTCACAGGGTCATTGTGAAGACGAGAGGGAGAACCACAAGTGCCATGTTGGGATCACAGACTAGGGATGTGGGATGCAGTAAGTAGTGGGATATAAATGTAATTCTAATAATAATAGCTAAATTCACCCTCTGGGCAAGGGTTTATTCCACTGCCTTCAAACAGGTGTGTCCCCTCATCCCACTGCTTTGAGAGTCATGAAGGAGAAATTAAAAACTGTGTTTAACATATCATGCAAACCTGTCCTCCCACTAGACCATTTCTAGTCTGGTTTTTTTTTTTTCCCCTGGAACAAATTCCAAAGCTACTGTTGAGCCCCACCCTTTCACTACTGACAAGTTGTTGGGGGAGGGGGAAGCCAACCTGTTGCCATTGGAGGTACCATACATGAAATCAGTCAGCTTCTAACAGACAACAGCTCCCAACACCTCCAAGAAAGGTGAATGTCCTACTCTTTTGAAACACAGAGAAACCAAAGTGACAAGAGACTCTAGGGAAGGGGGCGGCGGGAATCTGCCAAGAACACGTGTTAAAATATTTGAAGAGTTTCCTATTAAAATTCCCTTTTATATTGTCCATTGACTTTTTTCAAATATTAGACAAACTTCAAAACCATACACCACACAAACATACCAAGCAATCTCAAAACACGATTGACTAGTATGCACCCCCACCCAGTATAATAGTTCCTCTCTTGCAGCTTCATAAAATATTTCATTTTTTTTCTCCTTTAAAGTCTTCTCTTTAATACAAGTCTCCCTGCTCCATCTCCCATTATACATCTCTACCCCACAACCCAACCCACCCACCTTTGAAGCTACAGGCATTAAAATAAACTCCCATAAAAGAAACCTCCACACTTCCTTTGAGGCAAAGCAATGATACAGCCTGTCTCACTGAACTCATGAAAAACAACAAACAGCTATTTCAAAGCATGCGCCTGTGGAATTACAAGAAGCCTTAGACTTACACATTAGTGGAAGGAGTGTGGAGGAACTTAAGCCTGCACACCATGTAGATTTCACTTGTTTTGAAATAATTTTAAAAGACACAAAAGGTGTTATATGATAGGATAAAGGAAAACCAACATTTTGAATATGTCTTAGGTACTGACTACACTCAAACTGTCACAGACAATCACACTGTTTAACATTATACAATTTGCTTATGGTAGGCATCTCTATATATAGACACTCATATTTAAGATTATTAATAAGGTATCACCACACATCATCTCTCAATCCTGTACTTGGCAAAGTCCAGGCTTCTTTTTAAACACAGATATAGCCAAGTGGAACTTTGCAAAGTCAATGAGGGAAAGGTGAGACAGCTTAAAAAGGTCTGAAGACCTTCCTGATGTGAGATACCGATGAGCTAAAATGCCACAATTTTTGCAGCACCAGTCTTTACATGTATTGATAAATAATTAACTCAATGTAAAACTGAACAAAAAAAACTAAGCAAGCCCTTGAAAAAAAGAAAGTTCACACAGGAATACAGGGAAGAGAGATGCCATTAAGAACTGAATGCAGTTATTTCAGTGACAGCATAGCATGCAGACAAGCCCTTGAGAAATATTACTACCTCACACACACACACACCTTCCCCCCAAAAAAACAATGTAACGAAGATTACAAATAGTATGACAGGCAACACTTGCACGCACACATGCCACTGGTAACAAAACAGAGGCACCCAGGAGGGGAAAGAGAAACTTGCAACAGGGCTAGAACGTAAGATGGCAGAAGAAACACAGAGAACTTTGCAGAAATTGTTTTACTTCTGCAGTGAACCTTGGACACAAATATATGAGCTCATGGTTATTCACCCATTATGCGGGATGGTGAGGAGATAGCCAAAGAAGCCACATTTTTACCTCCTTCCAAGACAGGCTGTAAAGGTTTCAGCCAGAATGAATTCATGAAAAGCAGCATGTTGTTGGGAGGTGGATGGGAGGGAGAGGCAAACACACACTGCACATGCACTCCACACACACACAAAAAGATCCAAGAGACACACAGTAAGATTTTACAATAGGTTCTTAGCACCTTTGGTTGGCAACTGTAGAGGCAGTTTGAGATCCTAGGAATTGTAGATGCGAATGTTCTTCCATCTCACTCACCTAGAGAGAGATGCAGATGGGGAAATGTGCAACAAGCAGGCCCTCCTCCTACCCACCTCACTGGAAGGACGATGGAGTTAATAAGAACAGGGCTTACTCTCACTGCACAACTCTTCCATCCCTCCTACATTGGAAGATGGATGTGTGGCGCCTCTCCTTTTCATCATAGCAGGTTTCAGGAAGGGGACACACATGCCTCAGACTTTAAGAAGAGGAAGGAGCAGGGCACAAGACTGACAACCTAAGAAGGCTGAAGAAACTCGAGTTTGGCCCGCCACAAAAAAAAAAATAAAAAAAATGTGCAGGGTGTCTTAGAACCAGGACTGAGAAATGGTTCAAGACAGATGGAAGTGATAGAATGTGCCCAGGCTGACTCCAAGGGCTACCACAATTACCAAGTTAGCACTTTTGGCATATGTAAGGAGGAAGAGTGCCCAGCAGCAGAATGAAAATTTAGGGCACATAAGTTTCCCCAGATGTTCTGTAGCAGCCCCCACCTAATCATAGTGATCTACTCTCCAACCTCCCTTCCCCTTAAAAAGCTGCTTCTTCCTAGGGTATAGTCAATACAATCTCACCAAAGCTACAGATATAAGAGCAAGGTGATGGGTACAGAGGTGTAGAGCTGGAAAGCAGGAATGCAGACTCTGCCTGTGTTGACCAAAGGATCTCTGTTTCATTAAAGAGGATGGAAAAGCAAATCCTTCCCCTCTTAAAGATACGAACCCGTTCACCCAAGTTCTTATTCACCAGGTCCAAGTCAGCGCAACATAACCCTTGAAGACAAAAGGGAAACTCATGCCCCACCATAACCCCTAGCAGCTGTGACATTTGGAAACTTCAAACACATCCATTCCCATTCCTCTACTACCGTCTTAATTTCCAAGCAAAGAGAGAAAGAATGGATAAGGAGGAGAGAGAAGAAAACAGGCATTCACACCATGCATGATCTTGCAGTAGAGCCTCCCTGTCCCTTCCCCCTCCCCCCAACTGCGCTGAAGGAAGAAGGCAGCCTCTCATTTGCTGCCTCCACCACCACCTCCAGCTGCTGCCACCTTTTCGAAATCCTCTGCATTGCAGAATTCCTTGATGGTGACCGTCAGAAGGTTGCTGGTGACATCAGTGACCACCACATTAGAGCAGGGAGACATTTCAGGGCGCCAATCCCCAGCCTCCTGCTCTGGGTCAGAAGAGGATGGAGATGATGGCATCTGACCCCCTCCTCCGGAAGGAGAACGCTTGCTGGTGGCTGCTGATTCTGGTGGAATTGATAGATCAAGGACTTCCGATTCACGCCAGTCAGGAATGGCTGGGCTTAGTGTCTCAGGAAGCAGCTTTGGTGGGGAATCATCTGGATCCGATGAGGAGTGTGGAGCTGGTGAGGGGCAGTCAGAGGAGCTCGAACTGCGGGCATCATAGGCAGAAGAGCCCATGAGCCCACAAGAGGCACCCTGGGAGCCTCCTGCCTCTGTCTTCCCCTCCAAGGATGGGACTGGAGTGGACGGCTTGTTGTACAGCGGGAAGTTTCCAAACTTCATGTGGCGGATCTGGTTACGAAGCATGCTCTCGCTGAATTTCTTGCTCTTGCCAATGACACGGTTTCGTGAAGGTATCTTGGATCGAGCCAAACTTCCTCCCCTGCTTCCCACTTTCCCATCTTTATCAATCACCTTCAGGTTGAGAATAATGCGACTGCGCTTGGGCTCACGTGGCTTCACCTTGCGGTTGATGATGCGGACGGTTTCTGAAAAGGGAGAGACAGGAGGGCGGATGCCAGTGCCCCCACCAACTCCACTACTCTGGGGGTCTGGGCGGGGCAAAGGGCGCCGAGACATACGGTGACATCGCCGGATGTCCTTCTTCAGTCGGTGCACTGCAGCACTGGAGTGGAGTTTGGGAGAGGATGTGCTAGAACCAGGCTTGACAGAAAAATGTACATCCCCAATGTGTAGGGCCTCCGCCTGGGCCCGAGCCTGCAGTGGAAAAAATGGAGTTAGATGGGAATAAATCACATTCTGCATACTAAACTGCAGGCACCTGACATCTTAAGGATATGAAGCCTAACTGGAGGAAGTGGAGGCTGAGCTCTGCACAGGCCTGGATTTCAAACTTAGCATGTTCCCAATCCAAAATGAATCCATCTGACCAAGCATAAATCACCCTAATAGTGGAAACCATGAAATCCATTTCCATACATTTTCACCCTGGGTTTTGAATTACAGTTTGGGATACTGGGATTGTTCAAGACTTAAAGAACATTAGGAGATGCTCTTCAAAGAACATTTGTTAGTTATTACTAAGGCATTTAGCAGACTGCAGCACAGTACAAGTTAAAATCTACCAAAACTTCACGTGTAACAGGAGAGTTTGCAAAGTAAGCATTTAAAAGAAAGGCATATTTTCCCCTGTAATATGTACAAACAATGTCTTGAGGTGACTTGCAGCCAGATCATTACATCCACACTTCTTAGAAGTAAAGCTAACTAGGATAACATCAGGTCTCCCACGAATATGAACAATAAATGCAATTAATTCCAGTTGGAAAAGGTTTATTCAATCCTACTTTAGGTCATACAAAAGCTTTCCCACTCTGTGCAACAAAACAGAAATCTATTTGAAAATTATCAGGGTTTGACTAAACCATAAGTAAACAAAGCAAGATTTAAGAAAGGATATTATGCTATTAACATGCAGATTAAAGCTTTAAATATACAATATTAGGACATACAGGCTATTGGTTGGGAATATAGGACTGCCTTCTTCCATCTTCAGCTGGTATGTTAGGCTACAGCTATTCCTGGACAGGCATAACTTGATTACAGTGATGCAAGCCTTGGTAACCTCTAAACTGGACTACTGCAATGTGCTCTATGAGGATTTTCCCTTGAAGTTGGTTCAGAAATTACAACAGAAAGCTAAACTGAGTCATGGACCTTATTTGAGGAATTTAAGTGCAGTTTCCCCAAAGTTCCTCTATTAAGATACAACTATAGCTTCCAGCATTAGAGTGAGCTGAGATATTCCTAGTCAAATCTCATCCCATCCATGAAATCAGTACTCTTGGGTCACCTATAAGCTATGACGATGATACTGATCTATGTTCAAAGTCATTATGAGGATTACGAAATTGATATCCCTTCTGCCCTTGTAATAAAGGATAATAATAATAATAATAATAATAATACCCTGCCCATTTGACTGAGTTTCCCCAGCCACTCTGGGAAGCTTCCAACAAAATATTAAAATACAATAGTGCGTCAAACATTAAAAGCTTCCCTAAACAGGGCTGCCTTCAGATGTCTTCTAAAAGTCTGGTAGTTGTTTATTTCCTTGACATCTGATGGGAGGGCGTTCCACAGGGCAGGTGCCACTACCGAGAAGGCCCTCTGCCTGGTTCCCTGTAACTTGGTTTCTCGCAGTGAGGGAACCGCCAGAAGGCCCTCGGTGCTGGACCTCAGCATCTGGGAATAACGATGGGGGGTGGAGACGCTCCTTCAATTTAGTTTTATATTACACTGTTGAATTTGATTTAGTTTACTATAAAAGGTCCCCTCCCTTTTAGAAAACTAACATCCCACTGTGTGATGCTTACAACTAGATATTTATTGTAGACCAGATGATTCAAGTCATTCAATGCGCTAACAAAAATAGCTAACTTCTGTATTCAAATACCATCAGACTAACCAAATGTATCTGTCGCCCACCCCCTTAGTTCAATTAGCTTTTCCCACCATCTGGTGCCTGCAACAAGAATTGCAGGTGAATGCTTCTGTTCCTTCCCATTTTCTTCCTACTTACTTTCCACACAGATATATAAGCACCAAAGACTCTGGTTATGCAGCAGCTCCAAAAGTAATAGTAATAAGCTGGGAATAGAAAGGAAGGGGATAATAGAGAGATGCTATCATAGGAGAGACAACTGAATGTAAAAGGAGTAGGAAGCGGGGATGAAAGAAATTGGCTGGGGGTGGGGTGGGCAGAGGTACAAGATAGGTGTGAAAGGAAAATGGGAGAATAAATGACAAGAGATGAGTAAAAAATACTTTGAGTGGCATGAGGGGGAGGGGGAGGGAAGGGGAAAATATACAAGAAGCTTTCTCTACTCAGAGCCTCTGGATCAGCAAATTCTACCTAAAAGGGGAAGGCTGAGTCACAACACCTTCAGAGCCAATGCCTATACTTCACTTGAGACAACATGCAAAAAGTACAGTGTTACCATTCAGCTAGTTTAAATGCATGCAAAATAAACAGTGTTCCTTCATTGCAATAATTGCTGATAACACAATCACCTTGCCATACATATTGTGCTTTCTTTCCAGTGCTGAGGAGTAACTCTCTAGTCAACCAGCAAGATAAGTTGGCATAGCAGAGAACATCATCAGAATCTCATAATTATATTAGTTTCCACCTCCCATGCACCTATGGCACTGTACTAATTTTCTAAATAACCTCTCCCTCTTCTAGTGTTTAATATTGCAAATCCTGTACTACAGTACTAGCAATGTACTTAATAAATGTCCACACCTTTAAGAGAAGCCCCACAAAATGATAAAGACATTGGAAGTGGAGACACAAGAATATAAAAGCAGTTCATCTATATTTCTTTGATCAGGAAATCCAGTTTTGGGAAATGAATGTAATTTTGTAATATTGGGAAGTTAAACAATGCACTAAGAATTAGTCAGACTACAGACGTGTACATTTGTGCTTTTGGCTGCATTTTAAAGGTGTTTTCCCAACCAAGTTCACATATCAGTGCATTCAAATTACTACAATACAAAGTTAACATGTTTCTTTCCAATGATGACTTGTGTGAAGTACTTTGATACACAGAGCATAAACTATGGTTATGATACTACAAGATGCAGCAATGGCTGCCAACTTGGACGGGCTTTAAGAAGTGTTTAGACAAATTCATGGAGGATAAAACTATCAATAGCTACTAGTCATGAAGGCTGTCTACTACCTCCAGCATCAGAGGTGATATGCCTATGAATACCAGTGACTGAGGAACAACAGCAGGAGAGCATGATTATATTCAAGTGCTGTTTGTGGGCTCCCCAAAAGCATTTGGTTGACCACTGCTAAAAGAGGATGCAGCATGGCTCTTATGTTCTAATGTCTGTTTCCATATATTCATGAATTGCTTATACTTCTGTTTTTTAAAAAATCCCCCTTAAGCAGAAACTGGATTCTTTGTTTATACCTTGCCAGAAGTTCTATTTTAAATATTTGTGTCTTTAGGGGAATACCACTCAGTGCTATACTTAATTTATTCTATTGATTACTCATAGTTCAGCTTCCACTTCTGCAAACCTACATAAACAGAAAATATTGGCACATTAGCTGAACAGGTAGGATTTTTTGTCTTTTGTTAGAAATCATTCAACCCTTCCTTCTCGGACATCCCGTTTTGCAGACCAAACCTTCTGCACACCCTGGAAGTGAAATATTGCTATCAGTTCAGAAAATAAACTCAGAAGCAGTGATGAACATAGGAAGCTGCCTTATACTGATCGAATTCAGAATGATTGATACTGACTGGCAGTGGCTGTCTAGAGTTTCAAGGCAGAAGTCTCTCCCAGCCCTATGTGGAGATGCTGGGGGCTGAGCCTAGGACATTTTGCAACCAAAGCATGTGGTCTTAGCACTGGGCACATGGCAATAGTAGGCAGGATTATCTTCTGTCCAGGTTCCATCACTGGAGACAGGGGCATTGCCACTACCCTCACCTGACTCTAGTGTATGCAAAATTCCACAGCTACCCAAACAGTACTGAATTACAACTTTCAGGATCTTCCCTCGCCCCTATTCCACAAAGCTGTGTCCAGAACTTGAGTTGCTTACTAGAACTCAAAGTTGCTTCCTAGAACTCAAAGACTTACTGCTACAAGGTGTATTTTCCATGAACTATAACAAACAAACTCGGATAAAATTAGTCCTCAGCCACACAGCCCAATGGCCAACTGAAGGAGACTGTGTTCTACCTGGCCAGCCCAGCGCTTACCCCTTCTCACAGTAGGTTAACCCAATTTTCTAGCAGCTATATACTCACGAAAAGCCAGTAAAATGTACATAACTGCAAGCATTTTCTTGCATGCTTTTAAATCAGTAACTTCTCATGAACATAGTATAAAGCACCTGATGTACTGACCAAAGGTAATATATAAAAGGATGTTTTTATCCATTCTGAGAGTAAAAGAAGTCGTGCAGACCACTCTACTCATGCGGTTAAAATTCTCCCTTTATGTATTACCTTGAGTCAATAAATTTCTAAATGACTGTTTATACTGTGTAGCAACTGTGTTCAAGTTGCTAAAATCATCAGTTTCTGCTCTGGGAGTTTCAAACATCTTGTAACTACATGAGCAAAGCTCTCCTCACCTGATTCCCCCTGGCTGAGAATAAAAGAAATGGCACTGAGGGAGATAATGAGGGTTCCAAAATTCTAACTTAAATAAATTATAGAAGATTAAAAGCAAAACTGATTTTTAAGTGAAGAGAGAAAGAACTACTTGTCAAAGAATGCAGCCCCTCCCCCCATTTCTCTGTAGACCACAAGCTACATCCTGCAAACTGTGACTGGGAAATTCCCTAGAGAACTAAGAATCCATTACTTGCTACTGACCGTCTAATTTATTCCTACTAGCTTACATCTACCCACCTTCATGTTAACAATTTATATGATGACCCAGCATCACATTCTTTGCAAGCCAGAGAGTTGGTCAGTACAAAGCAGGTCATACATAAGTTAAAGCATTATAGCATGACAAAGTGGCCCTGTACTTACACAAGGCCAAGCTGATGGGCATACAATATTTTAGTTTCCATTATCCCAGAGCACCTGAATGCTATCTTGAAAAGCATTTGAAGTGGTTGTTGTTGTTACAGGTGTATCACCATCAATTCAAATGCATTCCAAGATAGCGTTCAGGTACTCTAGGAGAATGTAATAGAGCTGGGTCCAAATTTGCCTCAAGTGTTTCTTACTACACAAAGGACGTACATGCCGCAAACCCGGAAATAAGCATTCCAATTTGCGAACATTTTTTGGAAGCCAAACATCTGTTTCAGCTGTTAGCATTGTTTCCGGGGCCAATGAGAAGCCACACCTTGGTTTGCAAACGTTTCGGGAATCAAACGGACTTCGCAAACAGATTCTGTTTGACAACCCCCAGAGTACTGCCATCAACCTTGCTGCCATTTTGGTGTCTTTTTGTTTTCCTGGGCATTTGGGTACGACCAATGATCTGACAGATGGTTAAATCTATGTTTAAAATAAGGTTTATGTTTTTTTATAATTGCATTTTTTAGTTTGGTTGTAAATTGCTTCAGGACATTTAGTGGGAAGCAATGTATAAATTTAATAAATTGAAACCACTGTCTGGGAAAATGAGTGGCCCTTCAAATTATTAAATTAGTCATCTTTAGCTTAATATAGCAGTGAGGAACCTGCAACCCCTCAGATATTGTTGAATTACAACTGTCATTAATACTGACCATTGGCCATGCTAGTTCTTATGGAGGTCAGGATTTTCTGAATCATTTACATCTGCAAATAAGCTATCCAGTTAGTTTCCAGATCAAATCAATTATCAGACCACCTATGTCATCAGAAGTCAAACACTAGACAAAGTCATCTTTATAAGTCCTGAATGAATATTTAGGAATTTGTTGAGAAGAGTGGTGAAATTTACACAACCAAGGTTTTCTTAGTCCTGACAAAGTGCAAATATCCACTTTGGGTGTTAAAATCTTTATTCTCCATGATGGATCATCCTTTTCCAAACTGGTTTATACTGGTTTAAATGCCAACTCTGCAAACCCTCCTCAGCATTTGAGGTTCAGATTTCTACCCATGCTTCCAAAATTCACATCAGTAAGAGCTTCTACTTTAAATGAGCTGAAAGCAGCATTAGTGAGAACCGAAACCCCAGCCCACTCTGCCTCTCATATAGTAAGCACTGCCTCAGCAAGACTGGGAGGAAGTTTAAACTCTGATGTACTGATATACACATACACTTTTCTCACTTTTTACAGACAAGAAACCTCAAAGCAGGTTTTAGTGCTGCAATCACAATAGCCTTAAACAAATGATATTTTGGGCTGTCTGGTCCAGAAAGTTCCTGAGCACTTTAGCATTTCCAAAGTTTAATTATTTTCTTTCAATAAGATTTTAAAAACTACTGGTTTACATTGCCCCCTCTTTAAAGTTCTGAGAAAACACTAAACAACAAAGCCTTCAGACAAGTCCGTGAAAAAGGGTGGCAAAGCACTGGCCCATTTTTAGACAGCAAGAAGTCACGAGGCCAAAAGACCAACTTACATACACTTTAAGCAATCACTTGCAGTAAAAATGAAGATAGAAAGAGATCAAGAGCATATTTGTAGCTTTCCAATAATTTATGGCGTCCCTGAACACATACTGCAAAATAACATGTGAAGCTTTAATTTCTAACTACTTCCTTTCCCCAGCTGACTCTGTTTTTTGTTTTATTTTTGTTAAGAGTTTTTAGTGGGCATTTAACCATACTGAAGTTATCAGATCCCAGAAACTTGAACTGGTTCAATTAGAGCCAAGTTATTAAAGTGAGAGTTACCTTCAGCAGAAAAGTTTTGGGCTTGGGTCCTCTCTTCTTAGGTCCGTACAGCTCACGCTCACGTTCCCTTTGTGGGGGGAAGAAATTAAACGCTTTTTTAAAAAAAGTCAAACCTCTCCATTCTGCAAATAAAACAAGTGATAACTCCTAATTCTCCCTCTGCTGTCCAGAATCAATCTCAAACTCACTTTTGCTCAAAGGCTGCAATTAGACGGGAATCCAAGATGTTCTCTTCAGGTTCCCAAGTGCTGTACCTGCAGAAGTGCAGATGGACACAGTTACAGGCACATGTAAAGGAATGAAGGGGGTGGGGGAGAGAGAGAAATATTAGCACATGCTGAGGAGTTCTTGGTGGGTGGGGAGGCGAAAGGGATAAAGCAACCCTACAGGCACTCTGTGAGTGTGTGTGCACGCGCGCGCGCGCGCGCCTTGTGCGCACCCAGGGAAGGGACACATAATATTAGCCCAGCGAGAGGCCCACAGGAGGCGGGAACGGGGCTTCTTCACGCAGACAAGACACAGAGAGGCGCTAGGGGGGAACTCACTTGATGGCCCAGCCTTTCCATTTCACCAGGTATTCGATGCGTCCCTGCAAAATACGGGGGGGGGGGTGGCAGAGGGGAGGGGGCAGAGATGAGGGGAGGGGGGTAAAATGGGGGGCGGTGGGGAAGAGGAGAAACGGGAAGCGCAGGTTAAAGAGGTGGCAACGGCAGAAACACCCCCCCCGCCTCCCCAAAAAAGCCGAGCCCCGGTCTGGGGCCTCGTTGGCCCGCCGCTCACCTTTCGGATCCGTCGCTTGATGATGGATTCGGCCGCGAACACCCGCTCGCCCACTGCAGACAGCTCCATTTTTGTTTATTTCTTATTTATTTCTCTCTCTTTTGCTCAGCCCTCAGCAGCAGCAGCAGCACCCACAGCCCATAATAATCCCGCCCGCTCCCTCGCCTTCCTTCCCTCCCTCCCTCCTTCCTCAGTGTGTGACTGACTGACTGACTGAGGCGGGCGAGCGAGGGAACGGCTCTGAGGGCTGCTGCTCCCGCGACAGCGGCTCGAGGGGCTGGCTCGCGCCGTGAACTCGCACGCACGCACGTACGCGGGCGAGCGAGCGAGCGCGCCCCCTCCCCCGAGCGTGCGCACCGTCTTTGCTCGCGCGCGCCGCCACGGAAAAAGGGGGCCGGGAGTGAGGGAGGGGGACACGTGACGCGAGTAAAGCCCGCCTTCGGCTTCGCGCGCCCCGTTGCTTAGTTTTCAGGGCTTTGCTGCTTCGTCCCCCGCCTCCCGCCCTCGCCTCCTTCTGAGCGAAGGGAGTAAAGGTCTGCAGAGCGCAAGCGCGGACCCTTAAAGGGGCCGTGCGGGCAGCTTTTTGAAGAGCGGGAGGGTGGTGGACGTGCGGCAAGCAGAGGCAGGAAAGTACAGCGTGGACTCGCAGGCGGGGCAGCGCCCCCTCCTCGCGCGAATGTTTCCCGCTATTTCCATTTTCTCAGCGGCCCCCCCTCCCCCGCTCATGTTCTGCCTCATTTCTCTGCTCAGGTTGCGATGGAAGATTATGACCACGATGTTGTCATTGTCGCTGCAAATAAAAGCAACACTTTCGAGGGCCGTCGCCTCCGGCAAAGTGCAGCCGGGTTTCAGCTCGATGGGTGCTTTAAAAAAAAAAAGGGGGGGAGCAAATAACTCTTTGACTCCGCTGAGAGAAAAGCAAAACAGTGGGATTCAAGAGCTTGTAACTCTGGAACATCTTTCTGCAGGGGTGGGGAACATATTTGGAAAATATAGCATATTCCAGGCCGTTTTAAAAGCAAGATGGAAATCGCATTTTCGATTTGCTACTGAGTGATTTGATGGGGTTATTCTTTGGCTGTAGGCCTTCAGCCCTGCAAAAATGTTGAGGCTTACACCAGCCATGGAGAATCTCCCTCATCCTTTGCCATAGGCTATGCGGCACCAATATTTAGTATTTTTCTTTGCCCTCCTAAAAAAAAATAAGAGTATGTTTAAAAATAGGGGGGGGGATCCCCAGGGGCTTTAATAGTACAGTCAATCCTATACTTGTTTATTCAGAAATAAGTTTCAGTGGAGTATTTCCCTACTCCTAAGGAAAATGTGTTTAGGATTACAGTCTGAAAGTCAACACACATCTCTCTCTTGTACACACACATAAACACTTGAGAATCCAGCTCCTGTCACAATTGGTTGCTCTGATTCAGTCCTCCATACAAAAGGATATCACAGACAACCCTCAGCTCTCCCTACTCCACTCCTGGGTGTTTATTTTGTGTAGATTTACAGGCAATTTGCAGGAAGTGGTGAGGAACATAGGAAACTGCCTTATAAGGAGCAGTCAGAGGTCTCTCTCTCTGCCTTATCAGGAGATACTAGTATTGAGTATTGAACCTGGGACCTCCTTATGCAAAGCAGGTGCTCTACCCCTGAGCTACAGACCCTTCTCCAGGAGGACAAAGCTGGAAGAAGGAAGCTGGAAATGGATACAAAGAAACAAGCTGAATAAGATTTAGTACATCGAGCAATGATGAGGTAAATGGAAGGTCAAAGAAAGGAAATCTTAAAAAATTAACCAGTTCATCAATTACTTTCATGTGGTTTCTTAATTTGTTGAAGTTATTCCTGGGAGGAGCGTAGCTCATGCATCTCTGGCATAGTAGGATATGTTTTGAAGCTTCACAGTCATAGATGCTACTAAAGGAAGAGCAATTAATTTCCACCTCGTACGTTACACTATGTAAATAAGAGAAATAGCCAAACAAAATGTGTAAATGGACACTTGGGCATATGGTCAGTGTGTTCATGATCAGACAAGCTCTCAAGGCTCTCATAATAAAAACAAAACTTTATTCAACATTTACATTTAAGTGTGTAGGCAAAAGAAACCTAGTCACTAGCCTACCATATTGCTAGTGCCAAGGACTGATTCACACCTGCATGTGTATCATTCAATAACACATGACTCAATGACTCACAGCTAAAGTTTCAAGCTGTGTTACACACATCCTGCCTCTGAATAGTGAAAACAGCAAGGGTAACAGTTTTCTTTGCAGAAGAGTACACTAGAGATTTACAGTGCAATCCTGTGGAGATCTACTTAGAAAAAAATTCACATTGTGCAACATTACTTGCTCCCAGGTAAGCATGTGCAGGATTTCAGCCTTATAGAGTCTTTGTTTAATTTGCAACTATTACAAAACATAGCATTATGAAAGCAAACCAACACATGAACAACGTGCAATAAATATATTGGCGAGCAACTTGTGTAGCCATCCCCTGAGGCTCTATCAGCCAAGTTTCAGCCCTCTGTCAATTCAAACGGCATGCTGTTGTTCCCACCCCAAGTTGATGTTAATGAGATGACTGAAGTAGCTTCTGAGCTTCCAGTGACTGCTGTGGGCAGTTTCAAATACTACATTTTTACAGACCATGCATGTGTACATAGCAATTTAATAATGCAGGCATGCAACAGATATGGTTGTCTCCATATCTGCATCCATATCGCTTGTAGTTCTTGCACTTTTAGTTTGTGTTTCAGGCCCAGATGGGCTTGTAGAGTACCTTACATTTAAGATACAGCCAAAAATGCTGCTAGAGTGGGGATACCTACCTGGGTTGAGTCTGGGAAGTTTGGAAGACTGCTGCCTCCCCTCCCTCTTATGCATCAAAAAAGTACACATGCCAGGATGCTGAGACTAGCCATTGCATATATATGCACAGCAGTAAATCTTTGACGTGTGAAGCACTGCCATGCATGGCCCCATTTAAACCAGACAGTGACTCTGTTACATAAACCACCTTTTCAAACCATGTTCACTGCAAAAAGTAGCCAGACACCACTGAATCTACCATTTGAATTGCAAGACACTTTCTACACAGTTCAATAAAGTGGTTATCAATAAAGTGGCCTTTCTTTACATTGTACATAGCAATTAAGTGCTCTGATAAGCTGCAATGGTGCTTGATTACATTTCTGAAGCAATCAGCACTCTGGAGAGCACTTGCTACCTTGTTTTGTTTACAATCAGCAGATGCCCTGAAGGGGAAGCATACAAGGAAATTAAGCATGCAATCACTGTGCAGAGTCAAACTGACGAGGGACTTATTGGAGAAGTCTTAAGGTCAGCCACATAATTAGGGCTCCACATGAGTCCATTTGAAATGCTTTCAGTGTCTCCTTTTATCCTGTTTTTCTCCCTCTGTGGAACCAAGGTGGTAACATCACCACACCCTTGGGATGTTACTATGAGATACTGTGAAAGCTGGTAATATAACTGGCTTAAAAGCCAGTTAGATGAACTGACAGAGTGCATAAATGGTTCTGCAAACTGCAATGCTTCAGAACCAACTTCACATCCATGGCTGGTCTAGATTTCTGTGCACACCCTCCAACTCCCCACAACTTGTTTTAAAGCCATTCAGTCATTTTGATTTATTTGATTATTAGAGTGCAAGAAGCCTGGAATGAGAACTATAGCGAGGGGCAAGCTATTCATTTTGTAAATAACAGTTCTTTACAGTGGTAAATGTTATGAAAAAGCATCGACACATCAGATCTGGATTGCTAAGGCACACAGATAAGGGCTCTCAGCTTCACAGTTACAGAACTTCCTACCTCCCCCCAGCCACCCTGCCTCCCTCGAAGGCTAGCTTGCATGCATTGAGAATGGGTTAAATATTCATATCTGAAAAACATGGATTGTAAAAAAGTTGAAAGCTGCCCTTGAATTGCAGACTCACCAGCCAAGGACAGTTTTGCATTTATGTTGACATCCAGTTTGATGAAGGTTAAATCTTCCTGCTGCAAGTGCTTCGTAGTACTGAGACACCTTATTTGTCATCAAAACATGGGAGGCTGCCTCATACCAGGCCCAGACTGTTTGTCCAACGAGCCCAGTAGTGTCTATGCAAGCATCCCATACAGAGTAGGACTAACCAAGATCTCTTTAACTGGAAAAGGCAGGGATTGAACCTGGGACTTTCTGCAAGCATATGCAGGGACCCTTGCTCCAAGCTTGCAGAAGCATGCATGCCTCTCTGTATTATTTGTACTACATAGCCTTGTCAGTCTAGGGCAGTTGTGGGGGAAATTTGCCCCCCCCCCCCGATGTTGCTGAGCTACAACTCTCATCAGCCTCAGGAAGCATGGCCAATGGCCAAGGATGTTGGGAGTTGAGGTTCATCAACATTTGGAGAGCCAAAGGTTCCCCACACCTGGTCAAGGAGCTCCAGATGTTGTTGGACTACAAATCCCATCATCTCTGACCATTGTCTGGGGATGATGGGAGTTGTAGTCCAATAACATCTAGGGACCAAAGGTTGACAAATACTGTAGATACTTCAATCTAGGTCCTAGCAATATGGATGTGGGAATAGGGAATGTGGAACATGTGACCCTTCAGATGTTGTTGGATTCCTGACTCCCATGGTCAAGGGTCAGAGATTTGGGGAGTTATATTCCAGCAACACCTGAAGAGCTGCAGGTTCTGCATTCCTGCTCTAGCCTCAAGCCTTGGCAGTGGCTCTTAACTCAATTATCATTATCTTAGCCGCAGTAATGCTTACCCAGCTGCCTCATAACTTCTGCAGCACTGTTTGGCATGCTATTCAACTCATTACATTATGGCAATGCCTCTTCTTACACTTTTAAGACAGCATATTTCTTCTATACTATCACTTCATTCAAAATAACAGTGCCAGGGTTTAATGTGTCAGATTCAAACCAGTGCTTAACCATGCAGTAGACCTAAGAACAGCCTATTAAGTCACTTTTGTAGCACTAAAGTAATTTCACAGACAGATGGATAGGTTATTGATCACCCCTTTCAAGTTAGAATACTTACTGTGTGGTATTTTCCTTTAGACATATGTGCCAGCAAGAAAGAGAGAGAGATTGTATTAGGTGTTTTTTTTTTATATAAAAAACTCATTCACTTGTTTAGTACTGTACTGTTGTGTCCGCCAAATGGTGGACATTTTGACTGAAAGCTTCCTCTCTCTCTCTTATTGGCTCAGTGCAAGTAGCCTCAAGACAGCTAGCTTGAAGTGTAGATTTGAAACACTTAACCTTCATCAAGTCACTTTTCATCAAGTCCTCCCATCCTGTCCAACAGCTATGGAAGCCTATGCAACTATCTAGATAGCAACTCTCATCATTTGAAGACTTGCTGTTGTATTCTGCAGGACTGTGGACATTACCTTTGAAGAGCAGATCCCAGCTTTGTGTCCCAGGCACATTTCAGCCCCACCTCTTCACCCTCAAATTCCAAAAGCAGTTTGTTGAAGAGCTGTATTCAATAAAGAAAAACCTTGGTTGGTTGCAAAGAATTTATTTCAAGGGCCTCTGGCTTGTAGACCAGCTAAGCTTGCACGGATCAGGTTTCCCGACCTTTTCCAAGTCTTCTCCATTGTGATTAGGAGTGAGAAATTTGTGGCTCCTCAACTCCTATTGGATTACAGCTCCCATCTTTCCTCACCATTGGCCATACTGGCTGGGTCTGGGTCACACCCACACATTTAAAGCACTCTTATTCCACTTTAGGAGTCATTAAAGGTAAAGTGTAAAGTGACCCCTGACCATTAGGTCCAGTCGTGGCCGACTCTGGGGTTGCGGTGCTCATCCCGCTTTATTGGCCGAGGGAATAACAGCTTCCGGGTCATGTGGACAGCATGACTAAGCCGCTTCTGGCCAACCAGAGCAGCGCACGGAAACGCTGTTTACCTTCCCACCGGAGCAGTACCTATTTATCTACTTGCACTTTGACGTGCATTCGAACTGCTAGGTTGGCAGGAGCTAGGACTGAGCAACAGGAGTTCACCCCGTTGCGGGGATTCAAACCGCCGACCTTCTGATCAGCAAGTCCTAGGCTCTGTGGTTTAACCCAACAGTGCCACCCACGTCCCAGTTAGGAGTCATTGCTCTCCCCCAAAGAATCCTGGAAACAGTAGCTTGTTATGGGAACTGAGAGCATTAACAAACCAGATTTCAAGATTCTTGGGGAGGGGGAGCCATGAATAAGAGTGCTTTAACTATATGATGTGGATGTGGCCTTGGTCTAGTTCAAGAGCAAATGGAAATGGGTACAATGATCCACCACAGAAATCTGCTTAGGCACACAGATAAACATGTTTGTGTGGAGGTCAGAAATCCATTGTATTAACTCAGCGCTCCCAGAATCCCGCTATTTTGGGGTGGGATTCAATCATATACTGGCAAATTCAGGTTGCCAAGCTGTAGTTGATAGGGAATTTTTATGCAACAAACCTGCTTCTCCAAAAGATCAGATTTTTTTGTAGTAAGGTGAAATGCACCAGAAAGCATGAGATAACACTTGCTTTGGTGCAGCAGCAGCATCTAACTTCTCTGCCAACCAATCAGAATGAACTGCTCATCAAATAGCCAACATCATCTCATTTCCCAGAAAATAAATTACGATGAATGCTCAATAAACCAATGGTCTGTGGAACAAGAGCCCGTTCCTTTCCTTTGCCTATTCCCCTGGCTCAGACACTGATGGGTGCATGAGCAGAGCTTTCTTTCTGTTTTTCCTGCCCCACCCTCAACTCTGCAAAATATCCACAATACAGCCAGAATGTTGGATTATATCTTGAACTGCTGCAAGCTGGCAGCTGCAGAAAGCCTGAGATTCTTACTCCAGTGCTCTTTGCTACAATAATTATTTAGCAACGCCGCATACGGCCAGCTGTTGAAATCTCTTTCAGTTATGATACTGGTCCCCGGAGATCTGGCTACAACTCCGCTTGTGAAGTAAGTTTAGAAATCTCCCTCTTCATACCTCCTTGTGTCCTGAGAGACCAGTCGACAGGGAAGCTTATTGCAGCAAGAGGGTGAAGACAGCTCAGCTTCCTCACCAGCCTGTCCGATCTCTGCCTCTTGGCCCGCTTCTTATCCAGCTTCCACTTCTGCCTCCGATTCTGGACTGCTCTCTGCCACGGCCTATTCCTGCTCACTAAACCCTGTTTCCTCTTCAGCTTCTGACACCTCCTCCCAGTCTCCCCCCTCTGGCCACTCATCCTTGTCCTACCACTAATCCCCTGAGCTCTGAGCCTTCTTCCCTTGGGGGTTCCATAGCTGGTACCTCCCACCATTCCTCTGCATCCAGCCAGTCCATGACAGCAGGTTAGGGCTGGGACTGACTCGAATAGCTGGGTATCTTTTTTTCAGCCCAAGGGCCACATTCCCTCGTAAGGAACCTTCCAGGGACACAGCTAGAGGCAAAAAATGGGCAGAGAAATTTTATTTATTAAATTCATATCCCAACCTTCCTCCCAAAGGAGTCTAGGCAGTAATGAACGCAATTCCATGTCAGCAGACAGTATTCCAGCCATGTAGAATCCAGCAGTTTTTCACCTCTCCACTCAAGCAAGCAAGAAGCAACCACTACAGTTCAAGACCCCATTTGTTGTTATTGTTGTTTAGTCATTTAGTTGTGTCCGACTCTTCATGACCCCATGGACCAGAGCACGCCAGGCACTCCTGTCTTCCACTGCCTCTCTCATGCTGGTAGCTTCGAGAACACTGTCCAACCATCTCGTCCTCTGTCACCCCCTTCTCCTTGTGCCCTCCATCTTTCCCAACATCAGGGTCTTTTCCAGGGAGTCTTCTCTTCTCATGAGGTGGCCAAAGTATTGGAGTCTCAGCTCCAAGGCCCTATTTAGAGCTATGCAAAAGCACTCTTGGATCAGGGCAGTAAGGCATAGTGGGTACACAGTCTTGAAGGTGCTGCAATTGCCAGGGGATTCAATATGCAGCAACCTGAGGGTGTTCTGAATACAGGCACCCCAATTGTGCAACTCTCCCAGCCTTGATCCAGTGTCTTATAAGCTTTGGTGCCCAGACAACTTATTCAACTTGGGGTTGAGTCCGTGTTGTTTCACTTTGCAAGCTACTATTTAACTGGGTATGCGCTCTGGCCTGTTTTTACTGTTTCCTGATAGACTGTGTGGTTTTATAGTGTTTTATCAGTATTGTACCCCCCTTTAGGATTCTTTAATAATAAAAGCAGCATAAACAAGTTTTATAAAGTGAATAAAAATAAGTAAAAGAGAAAGTGAAATTCCAAATGCTAGATAGAGAGCCTGAGAAGCTGGTGGTTGTCTGCGCACCCAGAGGTCAAAGGTTCCTCAACCCTGGTCTAGTCACTCTGGCTGTGTGGTATCCTCAATATAGTAAAAAGAGTGGAATGGGCTATTTTTATATATACACACCCACACATATACCACAGATGCTTCCATAAAGAGGGCCTAGCAAAGAACAATAAGGGTTGAATGAAGACACAGAAACAGGATGTTAGTTAAATGTCAGTTCTCATTTATTTTATTTTATTTTAATAATCTTGTTTGCAACATTTACCACATAAATCATCTAAATAAATAGATGCTGTACAGTCTCTTAACCATCGTCAGTACAAAAATAAAGCTGCACGTTGAGTCAATTAAAACTCGCTCTGGCCCTCTCATTTGTATTACAATCTCTGTTTGCATCAAACACTCACTCACGCACAAAAAGGCATTAAAACTTTGATATATGTCTGTATCTCTTAAATTTCGTTTGGAATTTTGTTCCCTCAGCCCCTCCCTCCCCCAATACATTCAGTTAGTCTGTACAAAAACATAACAAAAACAAAGAACTGAGAAGCTCATTCTGTGCAAAGGAAGCTTTCGTGTGCAAAGGTTTTAACTTGGGCGTCACGTCAAGAAAACACCAAATTGGATTTCAGGCCAAAAAGGAGAAGGGAAAGAAAACCACTGAGCGCACACGCAAATACACACACGGAAATTCAAACTTTTTTTTAAAAAGCAACACCTCAGGTCGGTTTCTCTTTTCCCACCCGTTCATAACTACTTTGCCCCTTTCTAGCTCCAAAGAAAACAATATAGAATCAAGCAACTAACTCAGACCGAGAGACCAAACAGTGCAAACGAGGAAGAACATAGCTCAGACACCCCACCCCCCTCGACAGGATATGGCAGCCTTCAGTAACCTGGTGTCCTCCAGATGTTTTGGACTACAACTCCCATCAGCCCCAGCCAGCACAGTTATAGCAGCCAGGGCTGAGGACAGTTGTTATGGACAATATGTTTACCACTTTTTACCTCAAAGCATACTTTTTGTGCCTCAAAGCGACTTGCGTTATAAATATTAAAACCAAAAAATAAAAGCAGCAAGAAGGCCTAAAGTGCTCATCCAAGAAGATATTGATAAAAGGAACAAATCCTACTCACCTCACTTAAATGGATGAGCACCAATAGTTAGTTACACTCCCAATTATGAACCAAAAACCTAGGTAAATAAGATTTTTCGCCTGGCACCTAAAAACAGATAATGGCGTCAGGTGTGCATTGCACAGAGGGTTGACATAGGGAGAGGCGTTCCTTGAGGTATTGGGGTCCTGAGCCACATAAGGCTTTGTAGATTCAAGCCATCACTTTGAACTGAGCCCAGAATTTAACTGGTAGCCAGTGCAGTTATGCCAGGATTGGTGTTATGCACTCAGGCCCTCTTGCCCTGATCAGCCAGCTACAGTTTCCAAACTCTTCAAAGGCAGCCCCAAATATAACACATTGCAGTAGTCTAACCCAAGGCTACCAAAAGATAACAGAAACTAGTCTAGAGGTTGTAGTCCTAAACATCAGGAGGGCACCGGGTTGGCAAAGGCTGATATATGGACTCCTTCAGAGATAGGTACTTGGCACTGAAACAAGCCTCCTAACCTCATTAGCCAATTATAATGCCCCCTTTTGATTTCCTGTAAGCTTTCTACTTCATGGTATTTCCTTAACCCCCCCTTTACAAAATGGGTCACCATTTAATACAACAGTCAGGAAGAAAAAGCTGCTGCATTGCTTACATCCCACCCTAGAGCCTGACCTAGCCCCAGAACCCTAATAAGCTGTTAAAGTGCAATTTATCAAGGGGACGGGAGTCCGAAGAGATGCATTAAAAATACATTATATACACATACTTATAAATGGAAGAGATCCACAACGCTGCATTTGACTGACTTGCCCTAGGTCAGAGGGATTGATACTGGAGGCAATTTTATTGCTGATGCCTGGAAAGTTTTTCAAAGAGCTGTATGGAATCCTAGAGTGGGAAGTATTATGCTCTCCTTGCCTGGAATGAGGAGCCTACGGTAAGAGTAAGCCAAAGCATGAAAGGCTAACTGCAAGTCGTGTAGAGGAAGTTTAAGAGCAGCTTTGTGGCCTAACGTGACTGCACCTGTTATCTTGCCAGATGCCATTAGAAAGCACCAGAGAAATAAGCTTTTACAGTGGAATCCTATGCATGTTTCTCCAGAAGGAAGTCACGCTCTATTCAATAGGGTTCACTCCCAGTTAAGTGCATAGGGACCTCAACTCGGGTGCCCTTTCCTGTGCGCTTCAGGCAATCTGCAAGCTGGTTGCCAGTCAAGATACATAGGAAGCCTAAACAATCTGCATTACAGGCAAGTGCAACCTGTCTGACTGTGGGGTTGGTCTGGAACCCAACTGTTATTGGTTTCCCCCTCTACCTTAATTCCTGGTACACTTTGTCACAGGACTATTCATACTGTGACAGTGTTGAGATAAGTGTTGAGGGGTGTTTTGGCAGCAGTAGGATCTGTATTTTCCCCCATAAAAGGGATAGATCAATATTTTTGATTCATCTTACGAACTTCGGTACCAGCACAACATTCACCTCTTCCTCAAAGATCTTGTTTCACCTCCTTTTCTCCCATCAATTCTGTTGGTTTATAAGCTTCAGAAGAGGACAGTATTCCATTCTCACCAAGAAAGGCAAGCTAACACCCAACATGGATTTGAAAACACACCTTTCCCCACTTCTTAGGACTCATCAAAACCCAGCTTTCACTTCTGGGCTTTGCTTTCTTTGTGGTAAATTTTTTGTTCAGAACATGTTTACTATGCTCTTCTATATGTGCAAAATTTACAGTGTTCAATATCAAGAGGAAGAGACAACGGCTGCCTCTTCCAAGAAAGTCTCTTATCGTTAGAAAGGAAAACCTGATCCACATCTCACCATTTCTTCACATGCTCACATCTCCTTCCACTTCTTAATGGATTGCTACACTGCAGGAATGGCTATAGCAGGTTCACCATTCCTACTTTATACAGTCTTATGAAACTAGCAGCATAAACTGTCTTATGAAACTGCATAGTTTCCTTACTTCTTTGCTCTATCATCAATTTTGGCTGAAGATGCACCAATACCTGAAGGCGCATAAACTTCACTATATAACTGCTTACGAAATCAACTCTTTATAACCTATATAATATGGTTGGGGGGGGAGGAGATTATATTTTGTACAAGTGAAGTACCATCAAGAAAACATGCCACTGGAGAACATCAAACGACAGTGCACATAGTTCTCCAACTTACGATGCATTTCATTTTTAGATAAGAAACACATTCCTCTGTCTACTGTGTTTCATCTTTTCTCTACATCCACCCACATCTGCCATTACCTGTTCCCTAGTATAGCTTCAAGCCAAATGCTTTTCTGGATTAATACTCACACACCAACATGGAACATTACAAGATCCCAAGCTCTCTCTAATGTAGGGCATCAGAGCATACTATGCACATATAGCATTTATACACAGTAGTTACATTAATTGAAAATATGGCCCCCTTTCTACACCTCTCTTCTCACAGGAACCATTGTCCACACACCAAAAAAAAGGGTAACAAGTTCATGGCAATGCAAGGGGCATAAGGAGAGTTATGTAAACACCGGCTGATAGCATTCATCATACTGTGTGAAGACCCATTATATTAGTTGACTTGAGCCCCTTAAGTCCACTGACTTCAGCAGGTCTATTCTGGGTGTGACTTAGTAGGGCATCACCCATTCATAATAACTAGCCTTCCCCAACCTGATGACCTCCAGATGTTTGGGGCTGCAACTGTCATCTACCCCACTTGGTCAGTGGCCAGGTATGGAGAGAGTTGTATGCTAGAACTTCTGGAGGACACCCAGGTTGGGGGAAGCTGCATAAAATACGATGATTTTATTTAAAGGAAGTTTGGTTTAGACTCATCGCTTTGGCATCACTTTATATAAAATGGGTTGTTTTTGCCAGGAAGGGGGTTCCTATTTGCAACGTTACAAATGCTCCACGTTACTGAAGTGATGCAGTCCAACCGCAACAGTGCAGCAAGGACGTTACTAGAAATGGAAAAGAAAACAACTGTACAACTGTTTCGGAGATTTAAGAATAAATACTGCCAATGGACAGTTCCTTGGAATGACCCAAGGGCACTCTTCATGTGATCAGAATTTCTCAATTGGTCGATTTTTATGCCATGCATACTTGCCAATCATAAACACGCATACAGTAACAGTAATTGTTTGTAACATCACCACATCCCTATCTATCATTCTATTGCCAGCTAAATCAAGAACACTACAGATTTAACTTGTCTGTAGTTTAAAAGGGAGACAATAGTACTAATATTATTGGTACCAAGGTCAGCACCCTGGAAACTCAGCTCACGTACCTATGTACAAACCTGATACAAAGCTTGGAACTTGCTTCCGCCATGTATGTTAATTCTCTAAAGTGCCATAAAAGTTAGTTGCTGCAGACCAGGGATGCTGACCCTCCAGATGTTGGGCTACAGTCCCCATCTTTCCTGACTACTGGCCATGCTAGCTGGAGCTGATGGGAACTGGAGTCTAACATCTGGATGGCCACAGGTGCCCCATTCCTGCTATGGATGAACAGTCTTACTTCTTTCAGAAGTCACCAGATGCTGCTGCGAAGCTTCTTTAAAAATAAACTGAAGGTGACTAGCAAACTCTTCCACCCATTAAGTCAAACGTCTATTTCCTCGTCTAGATCTTTGAACTGAAACGATGTACAAATTACTGCGGCGTATTTTGGCAAGGTGTACAGCGTATGGTTTGTTTTAACAACTAATACCCTGCCACAGTTTTAACAGAGAGGAAAAAAAGGGGGGAGAGAGAGACTGCAGAGCCATGGCAACCATGAACCCCACTGCACACAGTAAGGCATTTTTGCAAGGAATGAAAGATAATTACAGCAACACCCATCAAAACCTCCTGCAAGGTAACACATCTAGGGCTGGCGATACCAAGGGTTGCCAGCTGCCACCACCCTGGCAAGCCCCCTTTGTGTAACCGCTGTGTGGCACACAGAGATGCAACAGACACAACTTTCCCCAGCATGAAATGCAGAACTCTGCAGCTGCTGAATTTCTGCCTGTCACACAGCTGTTATACAAAAAGGCACAGGAACCCTGTCTGGAAGGGGGAGGGAAGAGAAGAGAAGGCACAAAGCCTAATGGCAAGTCACTGGGCACATGGGAAAAAGTCTAATGGGGCAATAAGGTTACATAAAGTGCAACCCACATAGAAAATATTGCTTTAAAGAGCACATTTCTTTTTACACATGGCATATCCTCAGGGGCAACTCAGAACAGTCACATATAACTTAAGCCAATCTTATAACCAGTGGATTATAACTATTGGGACCATCCAATTTCAACTGAATATTATAACCACCTACTGGAGTCATGCAAATGTTCAATTTAAGATGCACATGCTCACATGTACAGGATTGTAGTGGATGGGGCCATTTCCCCTTGTCGTGATATTCAATTTGTTTGGCTAAGGAACAGGTTTTGTTCATTTCTATTCCCTAAGGTTTACAAGCCACTAAGGTGGGTCAGGGGGACAATGCTGCATTCTCCGCTTCTTCAGCATTCGCACACAATTGCCAGATAAGAACTCAAGGAACAAGCTGCTTTGGAATTGTGTTATCACACCAGAATCAAGACTTTTTGCTCCTGGTAATTAGAAAGAGACTCCAATTTCAGTGTCTCCCTGACCAGGTTTGTAAAGGGAGAGGGGGAAAACCCTGCACAAAACATCTTTTCACTAGCAAAAGCAACACTGTTTGAGAGGACACAGACTTGTATCACAGAGCCAGCCACAAGACAACACAGTTCAAACGATCAAAGAGGGAGGGGAGGCAAGCATCCTTTCTGAGGCCGACAGCCCAGCCCTTCACATTTACTGGGAGGGATGTTACACATACATTTTGATAAGCCTTATTTTCACATGTGGCATTGGACCACAGCATGAGCTTTGAGAAAGGCAAATCATGCCACTGATATTGAGAGGTGAAGTGCCTTTTCCCAACTGAGTTTGATCCTCTTAAACTCAGCCTCTAACAGCTGTAAAAGTTCCAAATCAACAGCAAAGATGATCACTCTCTTCTGGTGCACCCAACATGGCTAGAAATGGTTTCATGCAAGGACAGATGTCAGTGACCAAATTTTTTCAAAGTTACAAAACACACACACTTGAAACAGAAGCAGTTTCTTTTTCACTGACTGCTAGGGCTGACTCCTATACAAACCCCTATAGAAACCTTTTTCTTATTATTAAAGTGGTGGCAGGGAAGGAAATAACGTTTTGGATACAGGCCTGGGAAGAGATTGAGGGCACACCTGCATTGCTGTGCAGACATGCACCATTTTGTCAGCCATTCTCTATCCCTTCCACAGAAAACCCTGACAATGGCTAAAGAATTTTCAGTACCCTTATTAATTCCCAGGATTCTCTGAGGGAAGTAAGCCAACATATATTTGGAGTGTCCGCATGGCCTTAAAGGAAGAAACAAAAGCGCCAACAGAAATGGAAGTCACATAACAATGCTTGCTTTCTGCTGTTTAAATTTAGCGAGATGGGGAAACACCTAGGAAGACATGGCTTTCCTTTTGCACAGCAGGTTAAAGCAGAGCAAGTCACAGCTGCAGCGAGCTTCCTAAACTCTGTGGAAAAAATGGGGCCAAGACTTCATAGTGCTTAGAAACCCAATATTGTTTTAGATTTAGATTTAATTGTTTTAGATTTAGATTTAATTGTTTTAGATTTAGATTTAATTAAGTATTGGTTTATAAGTACAATGTGCAGTCAATTTGTATCACAGCAGAAACCCATGGAGGGGCGGAAGGAAGTCAGAGAGTCAAATTGAAGCAGTAAACATGATGTGAAAACTGGATGTTATGAAAAATGGGGGGGGGGGAATGAGAGAGAGACCCAATTTTGTTATGCAAGTATTGTAGCCCAGCCCTTTATGGATCAGAAACTATACATGGAGTTGATCTTGAGTTGCTAACTTTTCAACTGACCCCTGAAGCTCTGCTGTTTGATCTGCAGGAATTTAAATGGGAAGGATTTTATGGCACAGAGAAGCCTTTCAGGGCATTATTGCCTGCTAATTTCTGCAGATCAAGCCACTGTTAAGAGGCACAGCTTCAGAGGACGGTGAAGAAGTTGGTACTGGTTGCCAACCGAACCCATGCATTTGCATCCTGCAATATGATCTGCTGATATGTCTCAGTGCAATAAGTACCTGATGTTTTTTTTAAAAAATGAGGCCATTTTTTCATTTCTGCAAAATGGTCCATTAATGTACGGTAATATAGACCCACCAGGCCCCCACAAGAGACAGCAATGGGCGCAAAAACTTAAATTTCAGCAGTGGAAATAACAATGTTATCCTCAAAACACCTGAAGTAGCCAAAGCTCCCATGAAACACAAGGAGATCTATAGCTCTAGCCTTTTGGTGGATTAGACTAGAACCTAACTAAAGAAATCAAATTTGGGGGAAGTTATCCCAACCTATGCATACACAATAGTAAAAAAATAATAATGCCATTTTTATCTGCTTCTAGTTTCTGGGAAGAGCCTGTCCAGCTCTCACATTCTGTCCAGGCCTTACATTAAAAAGAAATCAGCACCGAGTCAAGCTCTTGCATCACTAACATTGTCTGGAAAGTGGAATATTTATAGCCAGGCATCCAGATAACCCAGATGTCCTGGTATTCTGCAGCCTGATGGAAAGACAAAGACGAGGCCAGAATAAACTGAGGGACCATGTCCAAGAAGCCATCCCCCTTCTTTGTTAGCATGAATAGTTTAAGATAGCATGATTTATACCTTCAGACCCAACAATGACCTTTCTCCTTTTAACAGCTCTGGGACAGGAGAAAATCCATAGCACTTGCACTACTTTTAAAAACAGACACTATTATTGAGGATGGGAGGTGACGCTCTTGCACAGTACTGAAGTGTTCCTCCAAAAACTGGTTTCGGGTCTGTAGTGAAAGATTTATTGCAGGTATCTGGGACTAGAAACTCCACAGGGTGTTAAATTCAGCTTTCACAATCTCTAGAGACTAATGTAATTTCACACACCTAGGGGAAGAAATGTTCTTTGTAAGCTAGACGATGAGGTCAGTAAATAAGATCATCGGAAGGTGCACAGCATCATTCTATTGCTCCATCAGTTTCTCTTTCACCCCCTAATTCCTAAACAAGTCGTATATGCAGATGTCAGTCCCATTCATTTCAGTGGGATATAAACTGAAGTACCTGTGGCTAGGATTGCAGCCTTGCCTTCTAGCTTGCCATCCTCACTCTCTAAAGGAAGATAAATTTTGTGGAACTTTCCCTTTTGCTTAAGTAAACTTAAAGGATCACACAAGCACAAGAAAATATTCTAAAGCTATACAGTTCATAGATACCACCGTTCCTTATATTAAAAAAAAAGTCACAAAGAAGTCCAGCACAAATTTCAAGGCATTGAAGTGCAAGACAAGGCTCTATAGAAGTGCAAGCAGCTTCTCCCTGGCAAAGGCTAAGATGTTCACACACACACACTTATTTGTCAAGAAAACCACACACAAGCATCAGAGGCTCCAGTGTTGAACAAGAGAGATAACATCAAGGGCAAAACTGAAGTGGAAGAATTTTATAAGTCTCATAAACATATCTCAACCCCATTCCCTTTTGCGCCAATATTTCTGACCCCTTACTTTGATTAGACAGGACAATATTGGCCAGTGTCCATATCTGCTACACTACCAATTCAACAAGGCAACAGCTACAGTTCTTCTGACTCCACAAGGAAGTTCTCACTCTATCATCACCTCCACTTTTACCCACCCAAAGCCCCATGCCTCAAGAGATATATGAAGCCAGTTTCATGACAATGGGCAGATAATGGAAGTCCACAGCAAAGCTTGAACATGGATAGAATTTTATGCAGCGTTTCTCTAGTATCCTGAGCCTGGCAAATATTTAAACACAAAACCAGAGAGATTCCCAACTACCTCCTGGAAGTTGGGAATGCCTTCACCACCACAACTGATAACGAGAAGAAATGTCCAAGTGGGGCAGGCTGAAGCAGTTGTTTAAAATTAACAAAAAGTCTTCCAGCTATTTATATAAGCAGAATTGCAATCACCGGGCAATTCTGCATCTGTATGCATCCAAGAACGGCAAAAGACGGGCATGTAAAGCTACAGTTCATTACCGGATAGCCGTAGTGGCTTAGTTCTTACACATCACAATATTCCATCAGCCTGCCAGAGGAACAAATATCTGGTTCTCATGTGGTTATGTTTGTTCCAACAGGGGTTCAGAGGTTTCACTGACACTGCATGCGTGCTGATGCACATCCAATCCCTCCTCGCCATGACCCATATCATCAGTCCTGTGGATCCTCCACACAGGACACAATCATACTCCGCTCTGGGAGGATTCAAGCTTCCTAGGTCCAACTGTTTGCTAAGAATCCCTGCACATCTGCCAGAGAACCATTGGGTGATGCACATTGTAGAGCAGCCTCCCCATACCTTGTCCTCTCCAGATGTTTCAGACAATGACTCCCATGATAGCTGACCACTGGTCAAGCTGCGTGAGGCAAACAACAGTTGCAGCTGAAAACATTTGGAGGGCACCATGTTGGGGGAGGCTGTTCAAGAGCATGCTCTCAGTGGGTGTGCAGTGATAGTCAGACCTGGTAGGATTCACTTAAACCAAATGTAATTTGGCTGTGCACAGAGAGAAGTCAATGAAGACGTTCCCTGGAGTGACACAACAAAGCAAGCCGGAGTACAGGAAGTCTCCCAAATGTATAGCATGTGTGGAAGCACTGTGGAGGCCGCATCTTGTACAGTACAGAAAAGGGAGGAAGCATCAAACATGGGAACTCAGCCACCCAAAGGAGGGGGACCACTGCTTTTCACAGACACCACTGGGAAGTGATGAAGTAAGATCAACTCTGAAACATGGAAGAATACAGGGAAATTTGTATTTAGCATCTTCCTCTTTTCTGAACATTCCCCGGGTCCTTCCTTCGATTGCAGATATGCTATAATTGATATAGGGAACGGACATTTTTCCAGAATGCACTGTGAATAAATGTCTTTGCCAGTGAAAAGAGCTTCCACTTCCCAAATGGACAAAGCAACAACACATAATATCTATATACTCTCTCTGTGTCTTTATAACAAATGAGGAGAGAAAAAATTGTACAGGCACCCCCACGTTGCCTTCTTTTTTTTCTTTTTTTCTTTTTTTGCTTATTTGAAAGGGGAGCAAGGGAAAGAGAGAGCCATTGAGATCAACAGTCAAAATAAAACCAAAATCCTCTGTAAACAGTTGTGAAGGAAAATTTTCCGGATTTTGCTTGTTAAATAATATAATTAAATCCACCCACCCCTAGAAAAATCTGATTGGGAGGACGGCGGGGGGCGGGAAAACACACACACACACACAAATGAAAAACAAAACAAAAAGGAAACAGAAATCTTCCAAGCATGAAGAAAAGAAAAACGATGAAATAATAATAATAGAAAAATGCAGATTCAGAATGGGATGCTCCTGTCTCGGAAGAAGCCCTCTGCCATTTGTGCTTCTCTGAAAGTCACGGTAATGGAGTTTGCTGTGATGTCCGTCACTGTCACTTCATTTGGCGGCAGGGCGGGGCTCCAGGAAAGATTGCCTTCTGCTGCCTCCGAGCTCACTGTGGAAGAGGAAGGAGGAAAGAGAACAGCATGTGAGAGGGAGGGTGAAATGGGAGACCAATAGGAATCAACAATCTTGTTCTTATGGAACAGGCTGGCCAACTACGAACTGACGCAAATGGGGGGGCGGAGCAAACACACAGTCACAGACCAATAAATATGTGGCCTATGCAAACCACCTCAAACCCACTTTACAGGCTATAGGATTGAGACCTGCCCCCACCTGCTTATTCACTAAGCCAGTGGTTTTCAACCAGTCTGCCATGGCACCCTGGGGTGCCTTGAATGATGGTCAGGGCTGCCGCAGGCAACAATGGCCTCTGTCCCTCTTCCCTTCCCTCCCTTCCTCTGATGCCCTCGTGTCTCTGCCTCCCAAAAGCTTGCACAGATGTTTGTGGCAGCAGCTCTGGCTACAAGCTCACCATGTGAATGGTGCCTCTGGGGCTGGCCAGGGGGTGCTTCCCAGGCCCCTGTGGGGCAGGGCTAGGAGGCACCTCTCTTTATGGCAGCTGAGAGACCAGGGGCGGCTGCCTGCAGGACTCCCAAGGAGGCTGAGGGAACACTCCACAAGGGAGGGTGTTCGAGAAAGGGTGGGAGCTTGCCAGCTCTGCAGGCAAGGGGTGACATAACTGGTCAAGGGAGTCGTGGACCCAAAAAGGTTGAAAACCTCTGCACGAAGCAAATCCTCTCACTTAAAAGGGATATAGTTTGGTATTGGGTTTACACTGTGCAACAAACCAAGGAGATATTTTCCAGATGCTTGTTATATGAAAAAGGAGAATTCGCCACAGATAAGTTAAAAGGAGATGCTGTGCTTTCCAAATCCCTCAAAATGAGTTTTCTTTTAGTGTCAAGTGGGAATTTACATTTCCTCTCCTCCATAGGAGTTTCATGACACATTTATTTACCCAAATGGCCTCAGCAACAGCTGAGAATGAGGGGCCCGCTTCCTAGACTTCTCATTTGGGACCTTATACATAAAAAAGCAGCAGCAATAATCCCACCCCCATGCCAAAAGAGATACATGGAGAGGGGAGGGAGGGAGGCCTCCATCTTCTCTTATTTACCTGTTCTGCACCCTCCTGTCCCACCTGGGAATGGAAAGTGGGCCCTTTAACTGGGTATTCCTGGCATCTCTCTCGGATATCTGAGGTGTCTCTACTCTCACCTGAGAAAGGCTCCATTTCTCCCCGACACTACCCGGGATTCCACATGTGTGCTCACGTTGAAGGGAGAATAAAAAAAATAAGGTTTACATTTCTCTAGTAGAATTTGTCAGCTACACCTCAAGGGGCTTCACAATGAAAGCTACAATGGAAGGCTCCAAAGTACCCCACAAAATGCAGCAGCCATATTGTGTTATTGGGACTTGAGAAGAACTAGTCAACATCTTGGCTCGCAGCTGCAAATAATCTAAACCCCACTTTGCTCTTTCCAAACCAACAGTGCAGAAAGTGCAAATATCAACACAGATGGACACTCCTGTCAGATGCCTGTTTTATTTCTTAGGATATTCATATACCACTATTCATATTTTTTTTAAAAAAAATCAGAGCGGTTTACAACCATCATACACAAAACCCTATAGAAAACCATATAAAGATCTAAAAGCAGAGGTCAAGTAACAATTACAGAAGGGTATTTTCTGAACTGCAACCATGAGCTTGGCAGCATTTCTACCTCCAGGGATAATCTTCTGCTTTCCCTGCCTGTCACTGTGGGGAACCGCAGGCCCCGAAGGGGCCAAATGCAGCCCTTGAAACTCCCCCCAGGCCACACTCCTTCACTAGCCCTGCCTCACACCCCAAGTACTCCCTCCCTCCATATTTATTTATAATGAAGCATAACAAAGTATAATAACAGATGTCAAATAAAATAGCAAAAGTATGAGAGACTATCTAGAACTAAACATATAGGAACAAACTTCCATACCAAACACATACATAATTAATATCCCAAGGTCCCTACATTTTCACTTTTAAACAGTTTCCCCCCTTAAAAAGTAAGTTTTCTAGGCCTAAAGGTTGCAAAGGTAGGCTTTACCATCTACAGACAATGCCTGTTGAAACTTTAGAAGCTACAATTTGCATGCATTTGACTTTAAAGTCCTTCTTGGATGGGCAAAGCTCCCTGACTAGCAGATGTAAAATAAGTTATTTTTAATGCAGCAAGTTTGCTTTATTTGCATATATGCAAGTTGTAGAATGCAGCTTTCTTGGCACATGATCCAGTTTTCCACAGGAACATTCCCCCCCCCCCAACAATGGAGTCCATACAAACCTCCTGGTGAGGATGGCACACTGGGTTTCAGCAGTTCCACTTAGTCCCCCAAGCAATGCATGTGTGTGAAGATCAATGTAAAAGCTCTCCAACACGAAAGTATTCCTCTACTAAAAAAAGAGACTTCCTATATACACCAGGAAGTTTATATGCATTTTATACCAATCTAGGCTTTCCTTCATGAAGCCCAATTGATACAGTTCAGCTGAGGGTGTGTAAACCGGGGAAGGAAGGACCACCAGCCCAAAGACCAGACCTGGCTCCTTCCAAATACAGTCACACTTTGGTTCTCGAATGCTTTGGTACTCGTACGTTTTTGCTCCCAAATGCCACAAACCTGGAAGTGTTCCAGTTTGTGAATGTTTTTTGGAAGCCGAACATCTGACACGGCTTCCGCTTGACTACAGGAAGCTCCTGCAGCCAATTGGAAGCCGTGTCTTGGTTTTCGAACGTTTTTGGGAGTCGAACGGACTCCCAGAACGGATTAAGTTTGAGAACCAAGGTACCACTGTAATTTTTTGGGCCTGAGGCGACTTCAGCACATGGTTCTTGAAGGGTTTGCTACAAGTCCACCACAAAAAATTAGCTACCCCCAGTACAGATTGATCTCTGTTAGATATCCTTTGAGATACCCACTAAACCACTTTAAATATGTAGCATAGATATACACCCAAGAGACCACAAGGAGGTGGGGAGAAACTTCTCTACCAACATGGCTTCTTCTTCTTCTGTGATGGTCACCCACAGTAAGAACCCAGACAAGAAGTGCATTCACAGGCCAGCTGTCATTAAGAAGCCGTGCAGAACACCAAGCCCAAAGGATGACATTAAACGCTTCCTATTGTGGGGATTTCAATCTACCCTTGTGGTTTTGGCAGGAGAGCGGCAGCACTGCCTGCACAGACTCTGCTGGTCTGCCCGGACTAGTGAATGAACGGCATGGAAATGAGCGCCAGTGTCAAGTGGTGATCAGATTTAGAGTGTCTACTAACCAAACACTCGGGGTTGTCTCCATCTAAGCCACACGCAGCTGAAATCAATGGACTTGACTAACTTAAGCCCATTGGTTTCAACAGGTCTGCTCCAAGTAGGACTTAGCTGGGAACAATCCTAGATCTGAGATTTTCCCCTTCAGGTCAACCTGCAGGGGTAGCTGGCAAATAAAGGGTGAGCCCCTAGTGGCATGCACGGTGTGCAACAGTTAAGAGAGGAACCTGGATGCCCAAGCAAGTGAGATGAGATGGGCTCTACGTAGCTGGGGGTGTCTGCCAGCGCTTACCTTCTTTGCTGGCAGGTTGCGTGGCCTCATCCCAGTCGCTGGGGGTCTGCCTCTCCTCCAACGCCACTGGCTCCTTCAGGAAGAACTCCCGCCGACGGTTCCGATTCTCCAGGCTCGCCATGCGGGTGAACTTCTTCCTCGAAAGGCGCAGGTACTTCTGGTTCTTGCTCTGCTTCCGAAGCGGGAAGGGCAAGACAGTCGCTCCACTCTTCTCGGGCAGCTCGGTCTGCCCTCCCTTGGCTAGGCTGTTTCCTCCTCCCCCAAACCGCCGTGACAGAGAAAAGCAGAGTTTCTCTTTCCCTTTGTGTGCGCTTCGCAGGTCCATGCTATACAGCCTCTGCAAACGGAGAGAGAAAAAAATCACAATTCTGCAAAAGCCCCTGTATTTCTATGAACAACTGTAGCCACAGAACCATAACATCCTTGAAGAACTAGCTCAATGTGCTCTTCACCTTATTATACATGTGTACACACACACACACACACACACACACACACTAATTACCGTATTTTTTGCACCATAACACTCACTTTTTTCCTCCTAGAAAGTAAGGGGAAATGTCTGTGCGTGTTATGGAGGGAATGCCTACGGGTGGCATGCCTACGGATTTTCCTCCTTTAAAAACTACGTGCGTGTTATGGTCGGGTGCGTGTTACAGAGCGAAAAATACGGTATTTATATGGAAGCAAAAAAACTGTAATGGAGAATGATCAACAGAAGCAGAACACATTAAGCAAGGCACTGAACACACGATAGTGTGCAATGCATCTTTCTGAAGGGAAAGATTAAGCCAAACTAGAGATCTGTAGGGTAACTTTGCCTGAAAATGTGTACGCAGCGATTCTTACATTTTAAAGAAAAGTGTTTTGTTTTAATCATAGCTTCAAGATTTGGAGCCGGTGAGCTGTGTTCAGAACCATAATTTGACATTAATTGCACTGATTGTTTTGGCCTTGGTGGTTGGGGATGAACTTTGTGTTTTTTCTTGTTATGTTTGCTTCTTTTCTTTTTCTGTCAGCCGCTTTGAGCAACTCTTTTGTGGAGGGACAAGCAGGGCATATATTTTCAAAATAAATGTAGAAGTACTTAAAAATATATATATGCATGTAGTGGATAGCTGAGTCGGTACAGCAATGATGGGGCTTAGGAATGGACAGCGTAATTCAACAAACTTAGGCCCTTACCTGCAGCAAGAGACGTTTTGGTTTGGGGCCTCTCTTCCTGTAACCTGAGGCGCGATCTTTCTCTTCCCTGAGGAGACAGAAGATACCCAGCAATTCCATTTGTTAACACAGCAAGAGCACCAACAAGGTCGCTTGTTGATCCAGGTTATTTAAGGCATATCACAGAGCTGTTGCTTGTGCAAATACAAATCGTAGTGGAGAAGGGGGATACTTTCATTTGGCTTGGTTGGTAGTTGGAGCTATACTCCCCCCCTCCCCCACAACCTAATTCAGCAATGCTTTAACCGAGTCGATACCTACCTGCTATACAAGCAGCAACTGGGATCGACAGTTTGGTGCATGCAAGCACACAAGAATACACAAAACCCTACGTGATGGATATCACAGTCTAAAGCCGGCTTACGCTGTTGTTTCACCATTGAGCATAGTTTTGTGGTTCACACACAGCGGGAAGCTCTGGTTAACTGCTATATCCTGCCTTGTTTTGTTGCCGGTTCAAAGGGTGAATGGCAGGAAAGGGACTGAGTACATTCACACATAGCTTGTGCATACCCTGCTTTAGCAAGTCAGGATTTTCAGCTTAGTGTTATGTGCCAATGCAACCAATGGTAATTCCCATTGGTCTAGGTAAGATACTGATATTTTAGACCCTAACTACACATTATGGGAAGACACATGGCTGCTGCTGCTGGCATACATCTATCCGACATGGGTTGGTGGCACATATTGATTTTCCTAGTAACATGCAGTCCAGACAGCTAGGAATATTGTCATTTGTCTTATTACTGGGCAGGTGAAGAGGCTGCAGCATATTCTGGGAACTCTTCACACTGGGGTGCTCTCAGGTAATTGAGCCACAGCACAGAAGCCTCAGTTCAGCTGGGTGCCTGCTCTTTAGATTAGAATAAAGAGCTTGATTATTAGCTCTCCGTGCCTTGAAAGGGGAAGAGAGAAACTCTTGAGCCAACCTGAACATGCTAGATCTCTTTGATGCAAGGCCTCTCGTTTTAATAAAAAGGAAATATTCTTACTTCTCTTCATAAGCCATCACCAGGCGAGGGTCAAGAATGTGATCCTCTGGCTCCCATGTGCTGTATCTAAGAGGGAAAACGTCAAGAGAAAACCATCAAACGGTTTCTGGTCAAGTAGGGTGTCGCTAGCACTGTCAAACTTCTAGCACTTTCCCCCTTATCAACTGGAGACTACAATCCACTCAACAGCTGAAAAATAAAGTATTTGCATTTCCCACCCAAGGGTTCTGCCAATAAATTCTTAAAATAAAATTTATACCATGCCCTTCTTCTTCCGTACATGGAATGGATCAAATAAGTGGCCATCCTTCTTTGAAAAAAGGGGATCATAAACTCTGTGCTCTCAGTCTTAAATCTGCCTGTTGCAGCCAACAGAAAACCGGATTCCCACAAAACGTCTCCGATGCAGAACCCTGTGCATTTCACCAGCTTATTCTTTCAATGGCAGGATCTTACTAGGCTACTAGATTTGGAGACGCTACAATGTTTCTTGCCTGCGTAGTTAATGACTTTAGAGCTGTGAAGTATGATTCATTAAAGTTTTTTTTTTTAAAAAAGAATTCAGAAACTGATCTCTGAACACATGGTACTTTAGAAGTATTTTTACCCTTCCTGTCAATCAACTATGGTTCCAGAAGGTGGCATAAAACTTAAAAACCAACACAAAATACAAAACAAAGCCACCCAGCAGGGAAGAGGAACAAATTCCAACCAGGAAATTGGGGGGGGGGGAGAGAGAGCCAAAAGACCCTCCAGAAAAGCATTGTCATAGGCTTCAAGCAGGCAGGAATATGGCAGGGGAAAGAGAGAGAATGAATGAAAGAAAAACAAACAAACACTGTGACTACATTTCCTGTGGTGGATACATACATAGAATGGTCCTCTGAAGATGATTTAAATGCCCAGGTAGACATATGTGGGAGTAGGCCATCCTTAAGATAGGTAAGGTAAAGGGACCCCTGACCATTAGGTCCAGTTGTGGCCGACTCTGGGGTTGCGGCGCTCATCTCGCTTTATTGGCTGAGGGAGCCGGCGTACAGCTTCTGGGTCATGTGGCCAGCATGACTAAGCCGCTTCTGGTGAACCAGAGCAGCACACAGAAATGCCGTTTACCTTCCCGCCGGAGCGGTACCTATTTATCTACTTGCACTTTGACATGCTTTCGAACTGCTAGATGGGCAGGAGCAGGGACCGAGCAACGGGAGCTCACCCCGTCGCAGGGATTCGAACCGCCGACCTAGTGATCGGCAAGTCCCAGGCTCTGTGGTTTAATCCACAGCGCCACCTGCGTCCCTATCCTTAAGATACCCTAACCCATATTACTTTTATGGCAATTAAAAAATAAATCAATCAAAGCCAGCCTGTTGAATTGTGCTCAAACTATAAGACATTACAGTTTCTATGAAGACACTACAGATTCTACAGTGTACTTCAAGTGACTCACCATCATCAACTTCTTAGCAATGTATTCTGGGCCAGTGGATGCTTCCAAACATAGCAGCTCCATGTACAGTACATTACTGTAATCTAGCCTGGATGCCATCAGAGAATTACGCTAGTGCTCTCTCTCTGTATATATATATTTATATATAGTACAGCAATGCTAATAGATGTTTATGGCTCACTGTGATGTGCAGAAGCAGGCCAGTGTGGTTGCAAGAGGAGAGGATGTTGCAGATGTTGATGGCGTCAAGGTGAACGTTAAGTTTTTAACACATTAGGGAGGTGAAAAATCTTCAGTAGTAAAAGTTATTTTGAAAACAGTTAGAGAAGAGCTGCTGTTTATGCCACAGGTATAATTTCTTCTAAATGATACACAAAATGTGTTTTTAAAAAAAAGATAAGAGAGGGAAGAGGTGGGGAATGTGTTAATAGCTGCTAAAGTGCTTATAGCAAATAATTTGAGGTAGCTTTGGTAACTTAGGTAAAAAGGTAAAGGTAAAGGTACCCCTGCCCGTACGGGCCAGTCTTGCCAGACTCTAGGGTTGTGCGCTCATCTCACTCTAGAGGCCAGGAGCCAGTGCTGTCCGCAGACACTTCCGGGTCACGTGGCCAGCGTGACATCGCTGCTCTGGCGAGCCAGAGCCGCACACGGAAACACCGTTTACCTTCCCGCTAGTAAGCGGTCCCTATTTATCTACTTGCACCCGGGGGTGCTTTCGAACTGCTAGGTTGGCAGGCGCTGGGACCGAACGACAGGAGCGCACCCCGCCGCAGGGATTCGAACCGCCGACCTTTCGATCGGCAAGTCCTAGGTGCTGAGGCTTTAACCCACAGCGCCACCTGCGTCACCCCATATTATCTTGTAAGCCAGTAGCAGTTTTACGACTGCACAGTGGAAAGGAAAAAAGTCTATGCAGAGATGTATGATGAAATGGCAGCTATTGATATTTCTTTTGGTATGAAAAACATTCTGCAAACAGGGTTTATGCTTTAAAGAAAAACTGTATACTGTATATACCACAGACAGGGTAGCAGTCAATTAAGTTTGACTCCGAAAGTAGACCTATGGAAATTAATGGACTTATGTCCATTCATTTCGGTTGGGTCTACCTGAGTAGAACTTAGTTGAATCCCACCCATAGAGACACAGTTGCAGCACCTACACGTCAAGGTAAGCCATAAATCATTTCTCACAAGCCAACTGCACCCAGCTGCTCCTTCCTGCTTGTACTGGGGAGAAACAAAGCATGATCCCTTGTTCAAACCTGGTGCTAAGCCATGGATCGTGGCTCATTTCTCTCCAGGACAAGCAGGTTAGAGCACAGCAGGCATATTTGGAACAAGCCAGTGTTTATGGTGTGCGCTGATACACAAACCAGGTCAGTGGGATTGCAACAGAAGATAATGTAGATTTTCTCCACGTTTACTTTTCTAAAATAATAATAATGAGATTATCTTTCTGCAGCAGTAAATAAATAAATACAAAAAACCTTCCATTCTGGTGACCTGTCAAAGAATTAGAAGATGAATCTCAGAGGCAGCATAGGATCAGGATTTGAGATAATCTCAGCTTTAATCCTAACTCAGGAATTGACTTTCTGGGCACCCTTAGGCAAATTCCCATCTCTCCAAGTTATCACAGCTTTTTCTTGCCAAGCTGAAAGGCGGGGTATAAATATTTTTTTAAATAAATACATTGCTCAGCCTTGATTTTCTCCTGCAATGTGAAATGGAAAAAACCCAGCGGCTGACTCTCACATGCCTGCCTTGCAGCAGGCTTTTTTCCCTTTCTTTTTTTTTTACCTGCCCTGAGGCTTTAGGGAATGAGGTGTGATGTTAAATAAGTCAATACATTTACTTCAGAAGATGTCTCTCACATCCAGCTCTCAGGGGAAGGGCAAGGTTATAAATAGCTTACATCGCCAGCTTCGTTTTTCATTAATTCTTATTCAGCCCTCATCATTAGCCAAGCTCTACCTCCCAGTAAGAGCTCTTCCTCTGCCCCTGCCATCTTCCTTCCAGCCTGCTGTACCACCAAATAAAGTTACCAAACCAGAAAAATAAAAATGCGAGCTGAGCTTGCTTTCTACCTCCTTGCTGCACAGAATTTTGGCATTTGTTTTAAGCTGCGAGGGAAAGAGAGGCTAAGGATTCCTTACAGAAGGCAGCGGAGCTGGCAAGCGTTTGGGGTTGGGGGGGAGAGAAGAAGACTAACGGATAGGGAATGTATTAGATCTTTTTAAAAATGTCCTATGGGTGTTGGCCATTCCTCTGCAGTTTAGCTTCTTGCTTGACTGCGGTGAGAAAACACTGCATGCAGGATAGAAAAACATTGCAGCTCGGCACACGTAGAGACACACACACACACACAGAGAGAGAGAGAGAGAGAGAGAGAGAGAGAGAGAGAGAGGCCAGACTGCAGCAGAACTGCAGACCACATTCTGGAAAATACAAATCACATGATTGCCTCCCTCCTCCCCCCCCTCCAAACCCAAGTTGTAAACAAGCTTGCAGCTGACTCAGAGCCATAACCCTTCAAATCCCTGGCTCTGAGCTCCTATGGGTGGGGCATGCAGGCCATTTTCATTATTATTAAAAAATTGTTTGGAAAAGGCATCCAGAAAATCAGGAGGAAAGGAAGAGAGCATGAGCAGGGGGGAAACTGGGGAGGAGAGAGGCCAAACAGTTTGAAGCATAACCATTTGCCTGCTTTCTTCAAGTCACAGTGGAAGAACTGGCACAAAACCGGGAAGGGTTATGGAGTAAGATGGAACGCAGACACACAGAGATATTATGCAGGTATCAAAAGTTGAGATAAGATGAACAGGAATGTGTTAGGATGAACGGATGCAGAGATGGGGGGGGTGCTGTACATTGCTCGTGGTTTACAACATATTCAGTGGCAATCAAGAAAATGAACATAAAATATTTGTAGCTGTATTTTAAGCACAGCTACAACCTTCATGTTCTTAAAATAAATTATCGGTCAATCTTCAGAATGGTTTGTTCATTTATTGATGGATCTAAGAAGCCCTTATTTTTTCAGTCCTAGGAAAAGCTATGAGCTCATCGTATCCTTATTTTAGCGTTTGTTTCACTATGGAGCTTGAGGGTGGGGGGAGATAGAGCAGCGGAAGACTGCTGTGTGGAACTTAAAGAGTGCCACTGAAAAACAGTGGAAAATCACCATGGATTAGGAAACAGCAATAGTACACTCCTCTCTCTCCTTAAATATGATGTGACTAACGAATAAATCCAGCCAAACTCTAATTTGAAGCCATCTTGGGGGAAGTGTTTAGCTAATGAGCTTGACAACACCATGTTGTCAGCAGCAGCACACATTGTTAATATGGAAGACAGAACGTATGGTCAGGACACAGCTCTCTTCCTGGTCCAAAAAGGAATATTATTTTTTTGCTGTGGCTACACAGAGAGCTCAGAGCGAGCAGGAAGGTGGGTACGCTCTGCTCTGTTTTTGCAGAGTGGCTATATTCTTGCAAGTTATTAAATTGCAGCTTCTGGATTGCATCTGACATGAACAGGCACTTAGCCCCTTCTCAGTTATTTCATTAAAACGGGGTGGGGGTGGGGCTGTGACCCTCTGGGTGCTGCTGAACTACAACTTCCAGCATCACTGGCCATGCTGGGAGAGCTGGAGTCCCAACAACCTCTTGGAGGGCTTCAGTTCCCACATACCCCTGCATTAAAATATGCAAGATACTACTCTGCCCACACTATAATCCCACATGGGTAGAAGAAAGCAGATGCCTCCCTATTGCAATGCAGTTTCCTCTGGGGAGGCATTAACTAGCAATAAACACCAGGCATCAAACTTGCAGCTGTTTAAGCGATATCTCGGTGGAAACGCCTCTGAAAGAAATAACGAGTGGCAGGTACTGCCTCATTCAAAAGGAGGGGTGAGGGGAGCATTATGCAGCCAAATGTATGTTAATACCTCACTGGAAGCTTATTGACAGGTATCCACAAACCCACTCAGGAGGGTCAGGGGCAAATACACCCAGCCCTCCTTGGACAGCAGCACTGTAAAGATATATTGCAGTATTTTGCAGCTATAATGAGGAGCCTTATTTTCACTGCAGTTTTCGATCAGGTGAAAAAGCAGTGCTCCTTCTCTTCTTCATACTGCCCCCCATATGAGAGGTGACTGTGCCCCTCTCCCGAGTCCTCTGTACGCACTAGAGAATGCTGCAGAGAAGGGGACATTGCGACCGACCACAAATAATGGCTTGGTGCTAAGCCAGCATTTGTGGACCCCTGTTTACTGTTCTGCTGTCACTCTACTGGAGTTGGAGCAAACACTTAGATCTGCATCCCATGCTCTCTAAAAAGACTTGAAGAGCAACTATTTCCTTGGGACTACTCCTGTGGTTTCTTTTTTTTAGAAGACTTAAGTTTAAGGTACTGTATCTTTAGGGTTCCAGAGGAAAAGGAGCCACCTGCTAATGAACGAACTGTTTCCATCACCAGTCCAAGGATACGTATTTGAAGAAAATGTTTAAGAAATTAGAACTCTTGGTTAAATAGGGCCAGGAAGGGAAGTAAGGAAAGAATGGTGTTCCTTTTGGAAGTGGGGTCAACAAGAAACAAAACACAAATGACAGATAATTAACACAAATGCAGCTTTACGAATATACCCCAGCACTTACTTGGGGGGCCATCCTTTCCATTTCACAAGATATTCCACTTTACCCTATAGGAGGGAAAGGAGAGACAAAAGAAAAAACAAAATCAATAACCGAAAAAAGTAAAGTAAATTGGGTTGGCAGGATGTGAACCATAATAAACCCCTTCACAAATTTCAACTTGTCCAATTCCTCGCATTGGAAATTTAAGCACCTCCTCACTGAGCTACATCCCTAGGTAAGTTTGCCATGCAGACCTAAGCAATGGCCTTTTTCAAGAGGGTCTTCTTCCAGAACGATCAGCTAGAAAGCATATACAGAGACCCAAAAGAAAGACGGATCAAAGCATATGCATGCAATTAAGAAGGAATGCTTAAGAATTGGAAAGAAAAATGTCCTTTTAAAAGAAATTCTGAAGGATCCTGCCGCATTGCTTGCTCGATATCTGTCTGCCTTGCTCTTCTCATTCCCTCTCCTACGAAACACCTCTCTCTTGGCAGGCAAGCTCTCTACTTACAGCATTCTGTAATATGATGGATCACATGTCATCTTCTAGATGGTCTATAATCTTATAAAAATGAATGGAAATGGAGCATGTGGCTGGGCTACAGGAATGGTTCTCAATGTCTCAGGCAGACCTATCCAGGTAGCTGCTAGGGGAGGTATCATTTCCCACTCCACCCTGTTTACACATCCTCATTGACCCACAATAAAGGATGCCAGCCTACCTGTCAATTTAATACAGAAGGTTTTGTTCCTCTACTGCATGATCAGCAAGCCAACCCTAAAGTGATGGTTTCATTTCCTACCATACATGGATGGATAAGGAAGGCAGGGGGAATAAATACTGAACAATCAGCAGCGTTCAGAGATTATAGGCGTGCTGAGCTAGTATGATGTGATACGGTTCTTTTTGGCCCTGTGACAGTTGTTTCCAAAGTGAATAACTCATCCCCTCTAGGAAGGACTGTGAAGATGCATAAGACCAGAAGGACAAAAAAATTGGGGGGACCCACCACCTATCATTATCATAAATTTTAAGTATGATGCTATTTCCATTTCCAGAATGGGTTGCTTTAACTTGCAAAAGTCAAGGAAAGGTTCCTAACCCTCTGGTGTGAAATTATACATCTAGGGATAACAGCGCAATCTTAACCATGTCTGCTCAGAAGTAAGTCCTTCTGAATTTAATGGGGCTTACTCCCAAGTAAGTAATATTAGGACTTTACCCCAAGTCACCCAAATGTCAAGATGTTCACAGCCTCTCAATGTCCAAGTTGTTGAGAAAGCCCTTCGTACAGAGAGATGGGTGGTAGTCATATTTTCCATTGCAAAACAATGGGCTGGCGGCCCCTAAGAAACTGATAGCACGGAGACCCCCCAAAGGCAGATAAAGCATACAGTGAATTGCTCACTTGAAATGAATGGCCTAAACAACAAGGCAAAGCTCTGACAAGAACACCATCAAGTCCATGCAATAACACTCAGATGTTCCAGCGCCCATCTCAAGTTTCAATCATGCCTTTGGTGCCAACCACCATATATTTAAAGCTGGCAGGGCTTCCAGGAGACCCAACCCGTTCCTCTTTCCCATAGGAGTGGCAATGAGGGAAGTGGAGGAAATGGTAGGGGCTTTGAGAATGCGACACCCGCTAACGGGCATGTTGGATGTTTCTCCTCCAGGAGAACTCCTTCTACTGCAACACCTCCACTTTACTATGGGGGCAAGTAAGGTTCCAAAGTGAGCCTAAGGGTGTGCAATCTAGATGCACACTTGCCGCTGACCTGGGAGTAAGCCTTGTTGAAGTCAATGGCATTTACTTCCCAGTAGAAACAGGCAGAGCAACACTGGGCGAAGTCATGCCCCCTGTGTTCACCCTCCAACAAGGGTGCCAAGCGGTGGAAACCATTTGTGCCAATCACCACAACTACCACACAACCTCGCCTGGAGCATGACAGCCAACCCATGCCCATGCCTTCAGGGGAGGGAGAGTGACAAGGGCTTCACTGCCGCCCCCTGGCGGAGGGATAACGAGACGCTCCGCCGCCACGCCCCCCTTACTCGCACCGTGGCATGCGTATGATGAGATGTGGGGCGTGGGGGTGGGAAGCATACGATGCCGAGCTGTTACTTACAGCACCACCACTCCTAGAGGCTTCTCCTAGGCGCGTTGGAGCCGCTTTGACCCCTGCCTAGGAGTCAGTCACCTAGATGAGGCTTAGAAATAGAAATCAAAGCGGGGCCCGCGTGCCTCCCTCCTACCTATTTGACCGCTGTTTGCAGCCGGAGTAGTGGGGCGGGGGGGAGAGAGAACACGAGTGGGGAAGACGCCAGCAGAACCCACCTTCCTTATGCGCTTCTTCCTGATGCTTTCCACCGCAAACACCTGCTCCCCGATAGCGGAAAGCTCCATACAGGGAGAAGACGGCGAGGAGGAGGAGGAGGAAGCGAAGGCGGCTGCTCGCGGATTCAGCGCTGCGTGGCGCGGGCTCCTGATTTTGCTGCTGTTGCTGCAGCTCTCGCGCTTACTTACTCCACACTCACACGCGCGGCGGGGCGGGGGGGGGAGGGAGAGAGATAGAGACGCACGCACACCCCTCGCGCGCTCCGGCACGCCGCCTCTAACGTTCCATTTTAGAACCTGCGCAACATTTTCCCAGGCGCGCGCGCTAGGGAGAGCAGCGCCCCCGCCCTCCTTTTCTCGCGAGCGCCGGCTGTCAGCGAGGCACCGAGCGCACGGAAGGAGCAGCCGCGCCAGCCTCAGACCTGATTGAGCGGCGGCTCCTCCTCCTCCTCGCACACAACAAGTAACCTGCCCGAGCGCGCGAGATAAGTCCCAGCTCCTTGGCGCCCGGGCCTTTATTTAGCGCGCCCGCGCGAGCGAACTGCTCCTCTCCGACACTTCCTCCCTGCAGGCAGGGAAAAGAAGCGCCGAGCAAAAATAAATAAATGCATATGTTAAGGATGGGGCGATACATACCGGGGGGGGGGAGTGGGGGAGAGAGGGGAAGACTCGCGCGCACCGGTGCTTAAAGCTGGCGGCGCGCCTGGGAACCCTGGAGAGCAATAGCATTCTTATGCAGTACACGCACCCGTGGCGGAGGCTGCGATCCTCTGCGCTTACCTGGGCGCGAGCTGCGGGGGAAAGAGGTCGTAGCTCGGCAGTAGAGCGTTTGCTTTATACGCAGCGGGTCGCAGGTTCCAGTCCATGGCATCTCCGAGGCAGAACGGAGACGGATACTGGAGGGAACCGCGCAGCTAAATCAATACAGTACTGAGTTCAGTTGTATGGGCCAATGGACTGACTCGCTGTAAGCAGTTGCCTAAGTTTCTGCCCCACCGCTTGAATCTGTGGGGCTGACTTCTCTGAGCAAGCATGCGTAGGATCGCGTCGCACAAGCAAAAGCGGCACCCGGGAGGGTCCTAGGGTTACTCAGGCACAATCGCCCCCGGTTTGTGTCCGCCCCAGTCGTCGTCGCCCCCAACACCATTCTGCATCGGGGGATTTTCCTGTATAGAAGAGGGATCGCGAACCCTATTTAGGCCCCTTAGTCCCGTCCCCGCCAGGAGTATTATTCGAGCAGTTTTTCAGCATGGCTAGTTCTATAAAATTAATATCAATGAGGGCTTCGTCGCGCAGCAGACATGAGCTGCAAAGATTTGGCATCCTGCCGTCCTGCCATAGATCCTACTGACCCTAATTCCAAATAGCATTATATTTCCCTGCCTCAGTTTCCTGCTTCCTTGACACCTGTCACCATCGCTTATTCTTATTATTATGAAGCTACGTTGCAGACAGACATTCAACAGGTGGTGTATTTCACTAACGGAATAACATTTCTCGACACAAAAGTGACCGTTATCTCACACGTGAATTTCATTCTTCGCATTTGCAAGGTTCTCCGAGCAGTGAGGGTGGAAAACGTCAAGCATTCGTAGGTAGGCTCTGGACAATTGTTGTCAAAAGCCCGCCTATAAATTTCGTTTGGAGGAGTGTGCGTTTAGAAAAGCAATAAGCCCCCCAGTCCCACTCCCATGTGCTTTTTATAAAGTCGGAACTTTCTTTTAAAAACATATCCCTATACAACGTTCCTATTGGTTTATTTCTACCCAGGGCCTTCCTTCCTTTGGCTTCATTGGCCCGTAGCTATGCTTGTTTTCTTTCCGTTCCCCATAATTGGTCGAGGTCGGTTAATTATTTCTCTCTTAATCGTGAAATCATCGCGGCCTTAGGGCCTGTCTCCGGGATTTCCGTGTGATTGGTATTCTTAGACTCGCGAGCGGCGAGCAATGAGGATTTGCATTTGAGTTGTTTTTCTAACAGGATTATTACCACGTAGTAAACAAAGGAGTTAGCAGCAAAGTCGGGTTTTTTAATGAAAAAAATATTGGATGTCTGAATGAAAGTACAGTATAGTGCAGTGTTTCCCAACCTTTTTTGGGCAAAGGCACACTTGTTTCATGAAAAAAATCTCGAGGCACACCACCATTACAGCCCCGTGACGTCAGCGCGCAGCGTCACGCCGGGAGGGACATGAATTGCTAGCAAATTACATAATCACCTCCTTGAGGGCTGGCTCATCTTCTCCGAAGGCAGAACCCCATTAATTAACAGCACAGACTCACACCATAGCCAAGACGAGGGGGGAAAACCTCAGTCATGCACAGTCATGCACATGTGGGGGCTAAATGAGGACGAAGACCGGGCAGAGAGCAGGGTTCAAATCACCCCACCTGGCCAGGACAATCCCTGGGTGCTCCCTTGGGCCACTCGCCTGACCCACCTCGCAGGGCTGTTGTTGCGAGGATAACACGGGGAGAACCACGCGCGCCCCCGGGAGCTCCTTGGAGGAGAAAGCGGGCGATGAATGCAATGCACGAAATATATGAGAGGCGACCAGGTTTTGCAGGTGAGGGGCCCCCGCCAGCCTCCGCTTCCAACACCCGGCGCAACGACGCCGAAGTTTCCCCCCGGGCTCGGCTCGGGGAGCAGCGCTGCTCCCCCCCGGCTCCCCTTCGCCCTCCCGGCTCTCTCTGCCGCCCACTGGGGACCCCCCTCACCTGCCAAGTCCGGAGCGCCGGTGGAAGTTGCATGCATGCATGCAGGGCGCCGCGTTGCCATTGCATTGCACTGCACTCCATGCAACGCCTGCACGCATGCATTGCCTTGCACGCCCGCCAAGGGGTCTCCCCGCGGTCCGATGCGTCCCCTCCGGCGCGGATGCAGCATTGCAAAAATAAACACCCCCCGACGCAGCCCTACCTGGGGGGCAGCCTCCGCCTCCGCCGCTCCGCCTCCGCGGGGATCCCCGGGCTCCATCCTGCCGCCCGATCTCCGCGGGGGCGCAGGCAGGCTGCGCGGGGTCTGCGCGGAAGAGCCCCTGCCCGCCCGGCCGCCGCTGCCGCACTCATTCCATGGCCGGGAGAAGAGCGCTTCAAACAAAACGCCCGGCCCGCCAGGCCACGCTGGGAAACGTAGTTCGCGCACCCCGCGCGGGCGCGGAGCCCAAGGGCGAGGGGACTACGGATCCCGGCAGCCCCCGCGCCGGGGACGGAGGGGGAGAGGCCGGGTGCAGGGATGGAGGGACGGGTGGGCGAGCGAGTGAGTGAGTGGCAGCCGCCAAGCCTTGGCCGAGAGCCAGGAAGGGCCTCCCCGGAGGAGGAGGAGGAGGAGGGAGGCGCAGAGCGGGAGGGAGGGAGGGAACCCCAGGGGTCATCTAGTGACGGCGCCCCAATCGAAAATTTGACTTTTTTAAAAAAAAAAAATCTTTCAATTTTTTAATTTTTCCCGCGGCACACCAGGCAACATCTCGCGGCACACTAGTGTGCCGCGGAACAGTGGTTGGGAAACACTGGTATAGTGTACACACACACACACACACCACAAGTTGCTGTCACCCAGAATTGTATTGGCTTTATATTGGTTTTTCTCTCTCTCTTTGATTGATTCTGCACAATTAAGGTGGCTAGTTATGCAGTGCCAACGGAGAAAAATCTACTTCATCAGATGCGTGACATTTTATCCTGAGTTACAAGCCAATATTGATATTTTGTGTTTATGTGTGTACACACAAATATGCCATAAATATGCAGGCACCAGAGCCTGCAATAAACCCAGATGCCAACTTTGCTGCCACATACACCCGGACAACACCATTACTGGCCCCAACAACATCACACATACCATCTCGGGACTATTTAATTGCTCATCGTCTAACATTGTGTATGCCATCAAATGCCAACAGTGTCCTTCAGCTCTCTATATTGGACAAACAGGCCAAACCTTACGCCAAAGAATAAACGGACATAAATCTGACATCAAGAATCACAAGACAGAGAAACCAGTAGGAGAACACTTCAATCTCCCAGGACATTCTATACAAGATCTCAAAGTAGCTGTTTTACTACAAAGGAATTTCAGAAATAGACTGGAAAGAGAAGCTGCTGAATTGGAACTCATTACCAAACTTAAAACCACGGAGAGACCTGGCCTTAACAAAGACATTGGATTCTTATCTCATTATACATAACAAAGCCATTTTCACCTTCTCACCCCTTCCTTTTTCCTGTAAGACCTACTGCAGTCGTTAAGAGTCGTCAACAGGCTCATCACAGCTATCTGCCAATCACCCATTCCCACCACCCCTCTGAGTAATACCCTCCCCACCTTCTCACTATATAGAAGGATCTGGCAACTTCTGTTTCAGTGTATCTGAAGAAGTGTGCATGCACACGAAAGCTCATACCAAGAACTAACTTAGTTGGTCTTTAAGGTGCTACTGGAAGGAATTTTTTTGTTATGCCATAAATAGATTAGGCTTAAAGGTGCCACACAGGCACTTGTTCATCTGGGAATTTTTTAGCCCAAAGGTCACATTTCCTCATGGGGAACCTTGGGACATACCAGTGGTGAGGCAGGACCAGATGGGAGGTGGGTGGGGCTAGAAGCAAAAGTGGGTGGAGCAACAGGAGCATCGCTTCACTTTTTCCCTGTACACAAACATCTCTACCATACTTCCTGCTCAGCAAGAGGCATTAACGTGTTTCAAGGAAACATCCTGCCCGGGCAAAAGCAGTCAAGGAGGACTAACACAGATCTGGACCAAAGGTCTGTGGTCTGGGGAGGGGCTTAGAGTCCCAGGGGCCTGATATAGAAGTCTGGAGGGCCACATCTGGCCCCCTGTAGGGCCTAAGTTTCCCTACTCCCCAGAATAGCACAGCTACTGCTCTGTGAATTTATATGTACAGATGCAAATTTAGAAATGGTGGAATGGATCGGACAGCCCTTCAAACAGAGGATGCTTTCTAAGAGAGGGCTGCCCACTGCAAGCTAGGGCACATGGCCACCCTAACCACAATGGGAGGGAGCAACATGGGGGGGGGAGGAATCCAGCTGGCACACTCTTGCAGTGCAGCCGTCTGAGCTCTTGCTGTATGGTAGTTGTAGGAAAATCTAATAATAGGATGTTGAAGGCATCTTGTACCACTGTTCTTGTGCATTTGGATAGAACGAGATTCAGATTGTTGCAAAGCCACTGTGCAAGCAGATCAGCCGACTCAAGCAATGCGGCCCTGTGCCACGGCAGGTAGGCTGAGGCAAAGGAACCAAAGCCCAAGAAAAGGCAAGGCTATGGTCTCATAGAAAGGCAAGCATGATGCATATGGTCGATGAAAACTTCAGCTTCAGGTCCCCTTTATGTGTGTGTGTGGAATCTTTTTCTTTTCTTTTTGAGAAGCAAACTCTACACATGCTCAGGAGAACTCAGCCTGAGCTGCC